TCTTCAAGGCTCTATAGAGCATGTGTACAGATGGTTGGAGCGCTAAATTTGACCCGTTTGATAGAGGTTTTGTTTGTTTCAAAGTACTTTGACATCATCTTTCTAGCTATAATCCTGATAGACAACGGAAACTGTTCTATGAAGGTAACAACGCAAGAGACCAGTGATAAGGGTGAAGATAATTACTATAAATTATCTTCATAGTATTTGTATTTAGCATTGAAGAAGCCCCATATACTGGGTGTAATTTATTGGTGAAAATATTTTAAGCAGATTCTTCCTTAAACCCTTCTCCCCTTCGACCCCGTTTCCCCTGGGTAGTCAAACTTGGCTAATGATTTAGGATCCAGGGAACTTTGCAGGATTATTCCTGGTATAAATCCTAGAAATATTCCAGGTTCCTATCATCATATTGCAAAATGTCGAAGACGTATTTAGAAAAAGCAAAATCATCGTTGGCTGCCAGACAGTGCAATATACTTTTATAGAACTAAACGGCAGAATTTAAAGCATTGGAGTGGGAGATATAGGAGCTGGAAGGGCTGCAGCCCCATATCAAGCAATGATATTGCATTTTAGGCTCAATGCAGGCAATTCCTGCTCGATGTAGCAGTGATATTCGGGCAAAGTCCTAAGCTCCCCTAAACGTTTTGCATCCGCTACGTCTATGATTCAGAGATAACAACAGGCAGTTTATTTTATAGATTTCGCTCGTGCTACTGCATCTCTTAAAGCTGAGAAGCCTTCCACATAAAACGAGTGCAAGGGCTTATCTCCGCTTTGAAATTTTCTTATCCCTATATTAACGATAGCTCAATGATCGATGAATAAGCAAGAGGTGCACGTTCAGAAGAGATAGGATATTAGCACGCTTACCACAGAGCTACATGCAAAGTACAGGAAAATCTTCCTTTCAGGAGCTGCAATGTCAAATCCTCGTTGTTGAACTGCTATGGCAGAAATAAACCAAATTAAGACATCAAACTCTTATCCTAACGGAATCATTATCAGCCTGAAAGAGAGCAGAAATGTCAATCTTGATACCGACAGGGTTTCTTTGTTTCACGCAAACAAAAACGTCTACAAGATTAAAGACTATAGCATGTTCAACTAGTGCGCAAATGACCAGTCAGATCTCCTTCGCAGCGGCACTATTAAGAAAGGTAGGCTATCACCAGTGGCTATCACCGTTGATTATCACTAACCATTGGCCATCAATGAACGCATGTGCAATAAAAATAACAATTAACTACATAAATTACAGCACATAAATGCAGAGGAATTTGACATAAACAGGAAAATCATTCTAGCTTCCCATACAATAGATTTTTACTTATGAATGGTTCCTGCAGCAAGTCGCAAAATCTCTTCTAGCGAATCTTTTTTGTTTCTTTGTACATTTGCTTTCACTGTTAAATCTAATGGCCGCAGTGTTCCTATTTACTTGCGTGCTTCCCGTTGAAACGTTTTTGTTTTTGTTACATTTATTTTAACTTCCATGAGAATATTCAAAATATTAATAATACGCATATATTTCCATTATCTTTGGTATTTCATTGCAACGGAATGCCATTCCTACCTGTCCCGAGGGGCATTCCACTCTTTTAATTAGCGTACGAAATTTCAATCAGAATTACTAGGGTTTCGATCAAAGGCGAACGAGTCTTCCATGGAGTGATTCGCCCCTCGACCTGTCTTTTGTAGTTTTCAAGTTGAACGTGCCTTCTGAATGAACGGGTTTCCAAATACAAGTCAATGTTAAAGTAAATAGTTTAATATCCCTATTTTTCAACATTGTTTTGCAAAGGCATATCATTATCAGTTGGAAATTAATTTTCAGTATTTTTAGTATCACGATTTACTGCACGGGAATTGGAAACAATTGTTACATACTACTTGGCACTGAATGCCAGATTGAGATGAAATGAATGTCTACTTTGTTATACCTAATACGTATCGATGTGAATCTGTTAACATAATTTATTCACTAACCGCTGAACTATCTTCAGTCAGACTCTCACCTTAACACGATGCTTATTTTTCTGGCAAAATACACTCATTGAATCTTTCTGTAGAAAAAATAGAGAAAATTAAATCAATTCAAACACCAAAGTTCGACAATCAACCCTGGAGTAACATTTGACTAGACAACAATTCATCAACTGCCGCTTTGTTAACGTTGCGAAATTCATTTCTTTTAAAGTACTGGGAAGATGTTTTATGACAAATTTAATTGGCTTATGTAAGAATGGCAAAGTTCTCTACCACAGATTACTTGTAAATATCGAATTAACTTCTCAAAGCTTGGAGAAGGTCACCATCGATACAAGGAGAACTGAGATTTCAGGGCAAGTAGAACGCATTAAAATTTCAAGGAAAACATCACCAGTTAGAAATCACGCCCTAAGGTGAGCGATATGGGTTTTCAGATAGATAATGTAACAGCGTACTAGATAAAACAAAGACTTTTAGACAAAGGCCTTTTCAGTGAGGGTACCGGAGGGCCAATTGCCGTAAGGATATTAAATCAGATGAAATGACAAATCGTTCGGGATATTTGCCTCTCCCACCGAATGGATCGCAAGGTTTTTATGTTTATAAGCGCCTTAAAGAATTAGATTCCACTCCCAGAAACGCCCCTATCGGAATAATCGTCAGTAGGAGCTTTGCTACTGATCTACCAAGCTGCAGTCTCTCCAGATCTTTTTATCTAGCAAAGAAACCGTCCATAGTTCTACATCTATATCGAATTCTAATGCAAATAGAACACAATGGCGGACTTCGAAGTTTTGTACAGCTTGCTCAAATATGTACCGATTGTACCATCTTTGGTAACACTGAGTCGCAGGCTGAGAATAAAAAAATCGAATATCTCATTATATTCTGCCCAAAGTAATAACGCAGATTTGATTATTCTAATAGGATTAAATGGCGATGGTTATACCTAAGAAATCAGGAACGGAGCACGAGAAATCGATTTCGTGTAGTGAAATGACAGCAAGCATCATCTTTGTGTGTGTTTTCTGAAATTGCTCCAAACGAGAAAATCCGTCAGAGCAGAACATCATCACTCTTATTTGCCACTGACAACCAATTCTGTACGGATTTAACCCACTACCATCTGGCACATACGGTTTTGGCAAGTGTTGCTGTAAATAAGGTCTCATCTTATCTTTGATGACGGCCAAGGGCTTTGACAAATAGCCACTTACTTCTGTAGCTTTTGCAGTGGTTACGGAATGAAATGTTTATTTCCAGTACTTTCTTGGCAGTAATCTGGTCCATTGACGCTCTCAAAATGTATGTACTGTCACTCATCAAACACCAGTGTGTCTTTCTTTCCACGGTGCCACTTCTTTTTGATAAAAGGCCATGTTTAGTCAAAAAATGTTCTTAATCTACAAACTTTCATGTGTGAAAGCAATACAATTAAGGGGGCATTTGGGGATTCGTTTATCTTTCCTGGTGAGGCGTATTCCTACTGTTTTATTCATAACCAAATGACTCAAGCCAGCAAACAAAATTCTGTACCCCCAAAAGCTCTACTTTTTATAGTGCAATTCTATTGAACTATGTCATAGATTTTCCCTACCAAGTACACTCCAGAATGGCTTTTTTCAAAATTTTGACGATTTTGAAAAGAGCATCGACAAAACTTTTTCACAACGGCAGATCGACCTTACCTACGAGTTTCCAAACTAAATAAACCATCATCACTTCAACGGCGGCACCAGCTCCTGCAAATTGGAGGAGTAATGGGTGTGCTCCAGCAAAAAGGCACCAGCTCCAGCAAAAAGGCGTGGCATCAATATTTAGTTTATTTTGGTAGCTTGAGTTGCAAATAACTCCAGGTTCGTTCAATCATCGTAAGATTACTTCAATCAACGTAATGATAACAGTTTGTTCTTAAAATGACTACTCAACTGTTCATAAAATTTCCAACATATCCTCTACGTTTTTCTTTAGAGGTTTTATGTTCAGTCAAGTGCCTTTGGCAATAAACGGAGATTTAATTGTTTTCCCGATAGAGCACAATTCACAATTCAATTCCTGAGCGTTATCAGCTGCATTTGAATTCATTGCCTGTTCAAAATGCAATGTTGAAAAAATGGAAAATAACAAAAGCTCAGGCAATCTTTCAAAGAACAAATGGGAAATGAGTAATCTTTCAAGTAATGCTCAGAAAGACAGATGCTTTTTTAAATTTATTACGACTGGCAGCTTTCTTCCTACTAACACCAAAACATAACAGGTCAATCTTTCTCTGAAGATTTTGACATCATGTGACTTTTATGGTCAAATTTTTGCACCCCAGTTGCATTATAGCTTCTAAAATCTGTTTGAAGATCAGGCACCCCACAGCCATTGGGTTAGCAGGGGCTATAGCCCCCCCCCCCCACTTTTTTGCAGTAATAGGCTACAAATTTTGTGGAAGGTTTACTCTAACGCATCTTTGCATAATTTACTCTTATGTAGTAGCAGTTCTCATTGACTGGGAACCATTTTTGTTCTTCTCAAGGTGTTTCATCTTGTATAATGATATGATGTATTTTCTAGCTTGGTTAGCTTGGTTTTTACTACCCTCGAGCTAATTCTATCTATTTTAATAGCTATTGATAACTTCTCTTAACCAGACTGTTTATAAAAATTGAGTAGAAATGAAAAAGCATTTTCTAAAAGGAGCGTTTTCCAGCGTTCTGGAGGGCGTGGCCTCAAAATTTTTGATCACACCCATTTCAGCCCTTCGACTTTTAGACTGGTGCACGGCCCCTGTATATATTACTGATGTGACATGAATGGTTGCTTGTTGGTTTAATCCTCAATGTAAGAAACAAACAGGGAATTGTATTTAATTTTCCCAAGGAAATTTCAAGCAAATTGCAAACCATTAAGCATCTTGAGACGAGCATTACATACTTGGAAGTTCTAATTATCTGCCGAGTTATTCAAACAGAGGCAAATTTTCACAAGATGGATTTCCTAGAAAGACAAATTTAGAATAAGATACCTTTCTCCTTTCCATGATCTCTCATTACGAAACATTGCAAAAAAATTAACTCTGAAATGAACAGTGGACAACTGAGATATCTAGAAGCACACAAAGGGCAATAGGAAAAACATACAAGGATAATTCATACATTTAAACACCGTCTAAATTGTTTTTAAATTCTATGGCTGCATGGCCTAATCTACATCTGGTCCAACTTTTTCTTTTCAGCCATTTCCATCTTTACCATCTCCACCAATGGTATTAAATAGTGGACATCCTATAAAACAAAATAAATGCGAATGTCTTTGAAAACAGCAAACATTTAGGTATACTTAAGCTTTTCGTCTGACATTCTTCAGAGTTTAAAACGTCAGAACATAGATCGAAAACTCTACGCTAAGAAATATATATACCCAGTTGTGGATCGAAATAGGCCAATCAGAAACGCGATCACAAGACTGTTGAGGTTGACCAATCAGTGCCGCTTGCCTATTGAGAATGTTGCCAATGGTGTCCTAAGGTGAAAACGAACTCCTTTTGTCTACACAATAGCGGTTTTTCGTGCTTATGTAGATAGATTCCAAAACTGCTAGATGGAACGACAATCGGGCTTTACCAATAATCGGAAATATGTCGCCATTATAGCATGTTGCACAATCTGGGTTTTCCAGTAAATGCTGCCTGATAGCAGAATCGCAGGTTTTAGTTGTACTTTTAGATCTGCAAGACCGAGGTGGCTGTTCTCTTTGGGGAAAAGTTTTGTTTCTAATACTAGGCGGAACATGCTGCTTTATTCTTTCCTCCAATCTTTGGATAGTGCGTCCTATGTAGCCAGAATCACACTGGCACATAAATTCATAGATAACGGAACTCTTTTGGATGGTAGGAACGCAATCCTTTTGAATGGATGGAAAGACTTTTTTCTACTGTAAAGAAACAATTAGTAATGGCCTGTTTTATCTGACTTTCAAATCGCAAGGAACTGTTACTGATCCAGGGTAGTTTTAGATCAACCGGGCACTATTGCCGACTAAATTCTACGTCAGCCAAGGAAATTTGCTATTTTCGCCTTAATGTTAACTGAAATGACATCCTCTGGATAGCAGTTCTCCAGGAATTTTTGTTGTTGCTGTTCAAGTTCTGAGTCGAGTTTAGGCTTTAAACAAATCATCAGTGCCCAGTGCCATATGAGTAAGCGTTTGGATGAGGCTGATTTTTCATTGCTTTAGGCAAAACGAACTCCATAGCCCTGAAAATGTGGGTTTACAGTTTACACTGGTAAGAAATCCAGTGCCAGACTTTTCAACCAAAACATCTAAAAATGGTAAGTTAAGTTATTTTCTTTCTTTCCAAATGTAAACTGTAGGGCTGGGTGAAGGCCATTAAGGCATTTCAGAAAAATATCACACTCAGCCTCTGTTTTGAAAATGGTATATGTGGCATCCACATATTGAAAATAGACACCTAGCTTTTGGTCGCATTTGAACAAAATGAAATCCAACAAAGATATTGGCCACAACAGATCCCAGAGGACTACCCATAGCGACACCATCTTTTTATTGATACATTTCACTGTTAAAGCTGAATTTAACTGAACGTGTCACAGTCTCCATCTCAATGAATATTTCCTCTGAGAATGAACGGCTATTAAGCTCACTCCGGTACAAAGCATCATCACATATTTTGATGGTCTCACTCAATAGAGCATTTGTGAAAAGACTGCTAATGTCAAAAAAAAGATGTTTTGATTTTGATGTTCAAGTTTTGCATGAACTCAGCGAACATAAAAGAATCCTTGATACAATATTTTGAATATTTTTTAAGAACAGAGTTTAAAACTTCAGAAAGCCACTCAGCCAATTCATGTTGTGCTGAACCAACCATAGACAAGATAGGTCTAAGTGGAACATTCTACTTATGTATTTGTGGATGTTGTGAACATGTGGGTCTTATCCTATCATAAACTTTGTTGGTCAAAACTTTTGAGTTAACCAGCTCCAAAAGGTGTTTTTGGAGTTTCTGCTCTAGCTTGGCCGTTAAATCCCGTGTTTTGAAGTTACCCAGTTTTTAGAGCTTTTCCTTGTCAAGGAGAATATTTTCCATTTTTTAGTTGTAGTCTTTTTTGTTCAAAATAACCACTCCTGATCCTTAATCAGGCTTTGTGATAAAGATGTCATTATTAGACCTAGTTCACTAAGGGAAACTAGCTCAACTAGTCTCATTAGCAATCAACCTGAAGCTTACACTACATATAGACTGCTTGTATGAAAGAAAGTGCCTAAAGAAAGAAGAAAAGGGTGCAATACCTCTTCTGGTTTTGTCCATTGATCTTTGGGAAGGATATTGTGTTTCAATGAAAGATCCATTGCTCTTTTCATTCTAAAAATTCTTTCATACTTTTCATTGTCATCTAACCGTGAAACAGCCTCAGAAACTTCTGTTATGTCTTCATCAAGAAGATCATCAGCCTTCAGACCTGTTGAATACAAAATATATGCATGATATAAAGCTATTCTAAACTCAATAAGAGCTGAACATAAGTCACAAACAGATGGGTATGCAAAAATCACTATGCAAGGAAACAGCAGAAAACTGGCCTAGCAAATTTCAAGGTTTGCAAACGTTTGTAGTGACCATGGTCAATTCATTATGACATCTTTGATGTGTCACTGTCATTTACAGCTTTTATTGTATTTGTATCCAAAGTCACATTGTGATTACCATTTATAGGTACACTTGGTGACTTTGGCTCTTTATTTGTCCCTAAATTCCACTTTTTGGGAATTGTTACTGGTTCCATGATAAACAAGATCTTTGAATTGTTGAACTTCAGTTTTCTAATCCAAGTCTCAGTACAGTTTGAGAAAGTCTTTGGAAACCATAATAAGTTGTTCAAGGTGGCTTGCTTGAGCTGGAATTTAGATTCAACTAGCCTACTTTTCATGGGAGGATATTCTTAAAACTTTTTATGATGGCTTTTGTCACCTTCAAATATCTCTAAACAACTTGAAATATCACTTCCAGAAACTTTTGACATTATAACTTTGCAGCATGGAAGACAAATCTTCTGTTCAAGCCCTGGGGACATAATTTTCTGGACCTGTGCCTCAAACACACCCAAAACTACTAAACAATGGGTTTCCCCTTCTTGAAATAAAAGAAGACAAACTGGTTTAAAGTCATAATTCTTGGTTTTGAGTTCAGCTTTGTCAATTTTATCTTCATATTTGCCAAAAATGAATCATAGATTTGGTGCAGAAAAAGCTGAAATTAGTGCAGAAAATTCATGTTGTTTTGATAATCACTGTGCTGGCAATTACGCTGCCTCAAAATTTACTTTTTCTATAAATTTAACATTAAAGTAACTTCTGACTGAAGAGTTCAAAAAATATGAAGTTTTAGCAAGATGCAAAATCCATGATGTCAACCAAAAACTAAAGCATTTCTAGAGTACTTTTGGCTAAATATATTTGATAAATAAAATTATTTTAGGTTTTATTTTAATAATTAATTTGAAAAATCTATTAAACAAGGCCAAGTCAGCCAGCTTCATTTCATTTCTTTCTGTTGCAAAATAGATAGGCCTATATGACTGTTGGATTTATACATAGATCTTTATTCTTGCGGAAAAGGTTCTTCCTGTTGCTGTGTTTGTATTTACAACCAAAAATATGCTTGTACCTTAAAAAACCCTATGAAGAAAAGTGATGGAAAAAATTCTACACAAACTGGCATATATGTACCCGTCATTTCAGGTGAGCCATTTTCCAATCCAATAATTCGTTTATGAATCCAGTAGTCGAGAAAGCCCAGTCTGCAGAGTATGGCATGTGCACACCGGAGATATTTTTGTGCAAAACCTGTTGCACACCGGGTATTTTTGGGTGTGGCAACTAAGATGGGTGTGGCTTGGTGTGGTCCCATAAAAAAATGTCAGCTGATAAAAACAAGCACAGTTGTGTATGAACAATTTGAGATATCATGAATCTTACTTGACAAATATACAAATAAAAACTTGCGCTATCTTCAACAGTATACTTCACACGCATTTTTACGGTGAAATGCAAATTCATAAATTTCAACCACAACAGGGGAAAATAGTCGGTGCACACCAGCACACCAGACATTTTTGGTTGTGCACACCGGCACACCAGGCTTTTTGCTCGTGCACACCGGAGATCTCGTCGAAAAGTGCCATACTCTGCAGACCGGGAGAAAGCTAAATAAATGTATTTTTAACTTTAGATTGTGTAGTGTATGTTTTTAGGCAGATGACTTCGCGCTTTTTGTCGCAGCTTAACCGTAAAATTCCATTTTTTTCTGCAACAATAAAAGCAGTGTTAATGCCAAGTTGTCCGGTGGGCATATTCAGTCAGGACAACGTAACATTAGAGGACTATATGGTACACCAAAGAAATCATGTTGGCTTGGCCTGATGCAAAGGGTGATCGTTCAAAAATGACATGGAGTTAATTCTGCAAGAAGGTAAGAAATTTAAGCAACTTACCAAGCTGTCTGTAACCAGAAGCATTAACGTACCAGGCTCGGAAAGCGTTCAGAAACCGGGTCGCAAGCCCAGCATTCTTTGCTACTTGGGACGCCATCTTTGATCAGTACAAACGATCAAGCGAGAAAAACTACGGGATCTGGGCCAGAGTGTGTTCCGCTGTACCTTTGAGGGGGGCCCTGTAAACTTGGGCGCAATATTTCATATTATTTTATTAATTCTTCCATATTTTCATACATTTATCTACTTAACTGCGATTCTTTTGGAGTCTGTCGAGCAGTTTTACTGCCATAGTCTTTTTCATTTTTTACCACTTCTTCATGTCAACATTTTGCTGGGGATGCCAAGAGTACTGGGGAGAATGCCTGGGAGAAGTACTGGGGTGTGAAAGGTGAATTTTTCTATTATTCTTCCTATCAAAGATTCTGATATGAGAGCCAAAAATTTTAAGGTCTCTATGCACTCCTGACACTGTCTCGTGATTTTTGGCAAAATTTCTTAATGAACAAACAAATGAAAAGGTGTCTTATTTTTTCCAATTTAATCAAACCTAGAAATATAGAGGTGAAATTTAAGGTGAAGAAAAGATATATAAGAAAATATATGTTTCATCAATTTCACTCCTAGTGGGACATCTATGAGAACCAAGTGCCTGGTCCAGCTCAATCCTGTTCTTTTTCGTCTAAGTAATCTACAAATACTTGCTATAAGCATAACATTAAACAGTCAAAATGCCACCAAACAGTACTTGAAAGAGTAAAATCTTGCTTTATTAAAAAGCTCTCATTTACTAGTTTTTCAAGGATGACGTCAGTGACCTGGTTAGCGAGTGGTGCGGGGGTATCGTGAACCTGCGCAGCAGAGCACAACAGGAGGACAGCACTCGCAGCATATGACGTGTGATATCATCTGTGTTGTGACGATGACACCATGATTTGATTTTGCTGCGACAGGTAAGAAGCTATTATAAAACATTTAACCAAACAACAAACTTTTAAGCACTTCTTGTTTCATTTACAATAATTGAGAGATAATTAGCTTGCATGTGAGAAGTTGCATGGAGCACGGTGTGAAGTGGCCATATGAAATTGTTAGGCCCATTACTTTCTTGTTATTTCCCCCCTAGTTTACCCGTTGTAAATCGTAGCTAATTAAAAAGTAACGTTTTCAAGTTGAACAATCAGACAGAATCATCTGCTATTTTTATCTGCAACCAATACACCCTTACCATCAACAAAGGGCTTTACAAATATATCATGCTTGAATTTTTTACCGAAGTACCGAAGTATAAAGCCCACATCACCTTTACCAAGCAACCCGGACGATTTCTTCCCAAATGACTTGAGGCTGACTTGAGGCTGACTGTGTATTGATGTTGGAGTTTTCCTGTTTGAATTAAAAGTTACTGTTGAAAGGAAGATTAACCACCAAGCAATGGCGGTGAGGAACTATGACAGTGACCGAGACAGCATCCCTTTGCCCCCTGGAATGGATCCAGCCTGGTTGGCAAAAGAAGGAGTCAATGTACTACTAAACGGGGGTGTCAAAAATGCTGAGGAGCTTTTCAGAAAATTCAGGTGATATTTGGACCCTTTTTGTATAAACCCCTAGATTGCAATTCATCAAATGCAATCATTGTATTATTTCATTATTCTCAATGTTTTCTTTCAAAAGCAACTCATTTAAACATTTTAGTTACTTGAACAACATCAGCAAGGTTATTTTTACACCATTTAATTTGTAATGCCACAAATAGTCTAAAATTTCCAATGTTGTAGATCTTAATGGGGGAGAGCTATGGCCAAGTAGAGTGTGAAATAAGTTGAAAAGTTATATAAGATACTTCAGGCTTCTTTTTGTAAATTCAGAAATGTTTGTTGTTCTGTTTTGAAACTGAGATTCCACAACTGGTCATAATGCAGCTGAACAAAACATTTCAATATATTTTCCTGTTTGAACATTTCATGAAAATTTGTCACTGATTTTCACAGTTAATTCTTGATTAAAAGTGTTTTTGAAAACTATCTGCTACTAAACTAAATTGTAAGGCTTGTAACTGATTTGAATAATGTAAGGCTTGTAAATGTATAGTTGAGTGCAAATGATCATCTAAAGAGCTATCCCCTGGTTTAAATCATCCAGACAGAGAAACTTGCAAATGCTCACAGCTATTGGCATCAATATATCTATTTCACTCTAACTAGAGCCACCATGCCAACCATGTCATAAATATATCATTTAGTCATGTATATGCAAGCTAATCAATCACTTCTAGCAGCTCAAATGCTTAGGTCAGGATATAACTTGCAGCTGAGGTCATAGCTGATAGTATGTTGTTGCTAACTACTAGGCATAGCCAAAATCATACCTGTTTTCAACCTGGTGAATCATCATCATCATCAGGTACCATCTTTTATCAGAAGGTTGGCTACCATGACCCTCAAACTATCCCAAAATCTGAGTTTTGGTTTGTTGTCATGGTCATAGATAAAATGGTAAATCAGGAGACTGTTATCAACCTCAAGGTCTCAATGTCTGTCTATCAACAACTGTCTGTCAGTTATTGGAAGCAAATTTACATTCTTTGGAATAAGTAAGCATAGAAGTATGAAAACAAAAACATTATTTCAAGCTTTGTACATGAATAAACAATTTTGTTTCATTTCATTTTTGTGACAGTAAAAGTGATGTCTGGAAGACCCTAGACAGCTAGATTTGTTAGGATTTGCATAGGTTTTACAATAGCAATATTCTATCCACATCAAGTATACCCAGCTTGTAAAGTGATCCTCATTTATTTATATATATATTTATGGTAATTGCCATAGATCGAGGGTTTAACAAGAAAGGCTCACATTAGAAATTCAGGGTTATTTGAAGGGTAAAATCAACACCTAGTGTTTACTGTCCTGCATGGAATCTTGAAAAATGGAGAATGTTGCTTCTTTGGACTGATTCTACCCAAGAATGTTTAGATATTTGTAGGATAGTGCTAGATTTTGGAATTGCCATTTAATCAACAACTGCACTACAATCTAAACCTGTATACAGCAAAGATCGCTTGCAGGTTTTTTTGCTCTGCAATTTCTTTAACTTGTGACAAATTCTATTTTATGGTACAAAAATCTGAACTAATGAATCTGATAAGAAATTACATGTAGATGAAGTTTACTGAAGGAGAAATATTTCCATTAATTTTGAGTAGAAATATTCTGAGTTGAATTGCTAGCTTTTGTTAAATTCACTTGTGTGATGATGGTTTGCAGCAACCTTGTTCCCATGGTAAACATTCTACTCTTATTATATTTGTTTGTTCAAATTGTTTGAATAGTAACAGTACCTGCAACAAAGAATTCTTTTTACATCAAGATTGAAGAAAGTTTATGTCTCTATGATTTCCTGTAAACTTTGACATACTTTATAAAAAATCAAAAATTCAGAGAAATCTTGAATGGCTTGTGAAAGTGCAAAAGATACAAAAATACTTTTTGTTATTTAATCTTTCTAATTACTGTATCAAGTTTTTTGACAATTTAAGCATACTCAAACTTCCTATCCCTTTCGAAACTTATTTTCAACATTATATTCCCACTATATATTTTTATATATTTTTTTGTTTCATCTAAAGCTATGACAAGAAACCCCTTAGTATGCTCTTTATCTACTTTATTTGCTATTTAGAAAGTCGATGTATCTGTTTGAAAACAAGGAAGTGTTCTTTGTAAATGGTTTTCGAAATCTATATGAAGCGCAAGAGGAAAGAAATAGTCATTGAACTGAAGTTTTTAAAATCGGGCAGTTTTACTTTAAATAGCATTTGATGGCTCTAAGCCTCGTATGAAAGCAATATTTTATGTTGCACTAAGTTATAAGAAAGTTTCATACCAGTTGCAAATTTTTGCGTACACACGTTTTCATGAAGGTCAATTGTGGCGGGTACTAAATTCATAGTGTTTTGTCATAGTGTTTATATAAATTCATAGGCATAGTGTTTTGGCGCCCGCAACTTCAATGCTAGAACTTAGTATCGCATTAGATTACGTGTGATCACTCCCCACTCATTAGATGGTGAATTTTAGCGATTCGTTTAATGTGTGATTTATATTCAATTATGAAATATTTGTTTTAAATTTGGCAGCATATTGGATCGATAAAGTCGCCATAATATTTATATAAAAGAAATTTTATTATGCAACAGTCAAGAGTGTTCTTTCGGTGGTATTCATGAATAATGAATATTTCAGTGAAATCTGGTTAAATGAAGCATTTTCTAACATGCTTAGGCCAGTTTCTGACAGGTGTAGGCCATCTTGTTTACGCATCAGAAAGACAGATTTCATGATATTAACGCAACAGCTGCTTGTCTCGTCGCTATTGAAATCAAAATTAATTCTTGCTCTATCTCTTTAAGGAAGATTGTTGAGCAAATCTATCCAATTTTCTTAATTTTCAAACGTGGTTAATATTAAAGTGTAGTTTAATATTTTTCAAGCTAGAGAGCATTTTCTTCAAATTGTATATCCCTACTTTAATTGCGCCGGGTAGAATATTAACTGTTTGTTTACAGTCCTAAAAATTCGATGGTCTTCTTCTTTCCATCAGTGATAGAAGCCTCGGGTTTTAGGCCATATGGCGCGTGTTTCAGAAAGGTTCGTTTTTCTTGGAAAATAGAAAAGACCGCGCTGAAGTTAAATCATGGCCATAGCCACCCATTTCGACAAAGCAGGGCAGGGTGCAAATGGTAGCAAATTTGGAGATGAATAATAAAAAAAATGTTTAGCCATTGTCTATGAGAAAGTTTCCCTACCCCTTGTGCCTCCTTCAAGGTAGACTCCCTTTGTATTTTCATCGATGCCTGATTTTAATTAACTCCTTAGTCATCATTCTTCAGTGATCATTAACTAAACCTAGAAGTATTGCTGAACGTGAAGGCTTTTGATACTTCCAAGCTTGATATATTGATAGAAAAACTGGAACCAGGGAATTGAACTTAGGTAACTGGTTACAGATACAGGTTAAATTGACAGAAAACATAACTAAAAAGCTCACTAAACAGTCAGAAATCTAAAAAACGAGCATGTAGATTCCTCAAGGATCCTTCCTCGGCCCTCGCACGAAGTTAATGAAGGTCTGTGTACAATAGACTGTTTCTCAGATCTTATGGCGTTAATCAATCATTTTTTATATTATAAATAAACATAACAATAATAAAGCTTATTCAAACATACTTTTTTAGGAAATTAAGAAGATAATTTTTCATTGGATGATAGTTTGTGAAATGCAATAGTATCAGGGGGATAACTGTTCTTGCGAGAATGCTCGTTTGGCAGTCTTGCAAATATATGTCCCGTTATTCGGGAACAGCGTCTATAAGCTTGCCCGAAAGTCTAGTTTTGCTGCTGCCTGCAACTACTAAGAGGAGAAATTGTTGATAAAAGATTACTTTTCAAGGCCCATTGTTATATCGGCAAATCCTTTATGGATTGGTATTTTTACGAGCACCACCCCAGAACGTGTGCCCTTAAACCTTCCACTTAGGCCACTGCATATCTGCATTGTAACATCTATAATTAATCGAGTACGCTGTTACCTATCTCTAAGGCTACTACAGCCCGAGTACCAGTGATCTTCATTAATTCAGTAGTTATAATTTGATTACATAAATTAGAGTAAAAGTTGAGGTACCTTCATTTATCAAAAGTCTATTTTTGGGTTATCGTGACCCGCCTCGGTAAATCACGGTGTGTGTGATGCTGCGAAAAATATCCGGTAATCATACTTGATTAAACGCAAATTTAAATTTAGAATGTTAACATTAACATACCGCTATAAATTAATAATTAAAATCATTGTCTGTCAAATGCATTTTTTCGTATCTAAGATATTGCTAATGTGGTATAAAGTGTTTATCCGTGACGCCTGTCTTCTCATTGTTATTGTTTTCGCCATAGTGATTATGCCGACTTTATGATAAACCATGCGAAATTATGAGCTTCCCTTTATTGATTTTTTAGTTTGACCCTTAACACTTGATTTTTCATAGAAGATACCAGTTTGCTTGAAATTAAATTGTAAATTTAGGTAAATACTGTTTAATTGACGTAAATTGCTCTGTTTTCACAGGTCATCTAGCCCCTTACTTGCTGGTGGTGCGAGTCTCGTTGATTTCATTGTAAGTAGAGGTTTTATTACGTCATCGACTGATCGGTTATAAAGAGGCTTGCTACCGTTGGGAAAAGCAGCTTGTTTAAATAATGCCTTGTTACCTTTGGAAGAGAACCTTCAGAAAAGAAAACCTTCAACAAAGATAGCTTTGCGAAAGCGAAAATAAATTATCATATATTACCAAAATCTAACGTAACCCGTGCAGCACCTTATTTTTCGAACATATTATTTAATTGAATTTTTGTGCATATTTGGTGTCTTTTATTGGTTACTTGGCCGTTTTTGACCAATCAGCGACCGCTAACCTATGGTAAAAAGTTCTAAACTTCTCCTCAACTTCTTTCGCATTTTCAAGAGAAATGATCCGATGTTTTAGGTTATACAAAGAGGAATGGAGGGTCATGAGTAGTAAAATTAACCGACGAAGTCATAGATAAAAAGAATTTCACCTACCAATAGGCGATTTTACCGACAAACCACGTAATTTTTGCACCAACTAAAAATTTACCGACAAACTCTTTAAGAAATGGGGATGTCACACCCCCTACAACCTCCGCTAGCTACGCCCCTGGCCACATGTAATCATACTGGAGTAGGGTGTTTGAGAAAACTAGACGTAACGTATAAGAAGAGTAGGCATTAGTCGAAGGTGTAAGAAGACGTTATAATTTTGTGTCTTTAATCATATCGCACGCCTACTCCAAGTATTTGATGCCTAGGACTGTTAAGCAGAGTTATGGGTGAAAAGGAACACTGTGAATTTAAACCTTTGATGGTCATATTTTAATTTGTAAATATCCATTTTGTTTTCCTTCAGACCGCAGCAATGACCTTTGAAGACGAGAAAATGGAGTTGGCAATGAGCAGTATGAAGAAAACTCAAAAAATGTGCGATGTAGATAGCTTGTATGAAGGTGTTATAAACAAGCGACCATCAGATAAATGGAAGACCGAGGAAAGAATACAACGCATGATAATTTGGGCAGACTGCGAGCTGTTCATGGCATTTTTAATGTTTTTGAAACAAAGTAAGTCGTTTTGAAATATGCGATTTATAGCCTCATGTGTACAATCGTTGTCCATAGTGCTTGGAATCCCTCAATGAATTTTTCAACGAGAATCAATCCAAACCTCCTTTAGATGTTGCTGGTTTTTACGATGCTGCGACCACTAGTATTGCCCGTTGTAATTCTTTAGGATAATTCAGATTCTTCAACCAAGTTTATCGGAATTGATAGGGTGTTTCCTATTAGAGTGTAGAGCAGGGCGGTCCCAAATTGAAACATATTGTGCAAGAGTTCCAAGCTTGATGCGATGATCAGGCAATTTCAAGCTGAAGCACGGAGTTTCAACTCAGAACTGTTCTGTTCTACTAGCAAGGCCATTATCATCGCATGACTTTTTATTGACATCATGCTACTGCTCTCGCTTGGCCTTGTTGAAATTACAAGTTATGACTTGTGTTGCTTTTGAATTCATTTCTATGATGCTTTTCTGTAATGCATCTCTGGCGTCTATAAGCTTTGTTACCTCTGCCTGCATTTGCTTGATTTCTGGGGTTTGCCCTGAAGTCTTCAACTCGCGTAATATTACGTTTGGTTTCCTGTTCATTTAGAGTGACCTGCTAATAATATATGACACGTAGCTGAATATCCGTATCTAGCCATCATTTCTGTAATCAGATTCAAGTAAAATCACATTTGGAGAATAGACTTATGTATGACCTTCTTTGATTCTTGCAAAAGGATCTGCAATTTGCTAATCCTAATAACTACGTTATAATCTAAACTCGCTCAGCTAATATAATTCTGGCTTTGAGTTGGAAAATTGGCCCAAAAGTGATGCATCATGATTCGCAGATTTCGCATGAACTGGGCGGAATAGATTGACGTGAATGTGGCAACATAAAACGAAAATTTTTATGGGTTTTTGGCTTTGTCGACTGATAAGAATAAAAAATTGACACTTCATATGTGAGGTTTTAAGGGGAGGAATGGATAATTTATATGGTTGGGTGGGTAAGGGGTGGGTCAGGATTTGGGATAATATTATAAGGATCTTATGGAAACATGTTTACATCGTATTTTTAAGAGTGATTTTCGTTAGTAGGTACCACTCCTGTTCAATTCACTGCCAAAAACTAGTTCCCTATGTTAATCAGTTTCCTTATGAGACATCACCCTACTGCAAAATATGTCGTCGTCCAAACGCAAAACTTGTATGGTCAACCCTGGTTATACAAACCGCGAAATTTGCTTAAGAGTTGTTACAGTTTACAAGTTACATATAATTCTAGGAATCGGCTTCATATATTGAATAAGTTTGCACCTTTTATTTAAAGTGAGAGCTAGCTAGCAAGAGGTTTGATTTTCAGCAGATTGCCTGTAACAGAGTCTGTTATATATGAGAATTACTACTTTACCGGTCTGTCATTTAGTGCTCAATGCCGTAAAGCTGTTTTATCAGATGGTCGCATGAAGATATGGAACTCAGAGCTGCAGCTTAGAACAGCCCGGTTCTATACACACCAAAGCTTCTTAGCTATATATACATTTTATTATTTGGCCCAATTTTATACACGATACTTCACCAGTAGTTATGAAAACAAGATGAATAGATTATATACAGTAGAGATTTACAAATCAGACAAATCAGACAGTTATTTTGTCTTTATTGGTTTGACTGTATTTTGCTATTAGTCATTTTTCGGTCACTGGCCTTTGTTTTTATTTGTGTTGTCAATCTCTGTTTTAAGGACTTGGCTTTTAGGCCGAAAGTCTCTCGGTGCCGTTAGCATGAAAGAAAGGCTACCAATTATTTGCTTTCGTTATCACAATTACATTAGGCCCCTTTCAATATGATTAAATGACGTAGACTGTGTTTTTCCATCCGTTAAGGTTGTCATCAAAAATCGACCAATCGTTTCAATTCTTTCAATTGACATAAAATTTTTCTTCTATAAAAGCTGTTTGTATTCGTTAACGACGATTTTGGGACTTATGTAATCAATGAAACTGCTGGCGTGTCTCCTACCCTTTTTGTAAAAGGGATATTTTTGATTGGGTGGATGTGAAATTTCAGCAGCAGTCGAGTCCGGCTTGATACTGTAAGCACAACGACAAGTATGCCAAAATCATGACAGTAAAAGTAGCTCGGTGTTGAGGCTGTTTTGACTCATAAACTAATTATTCTAACCTAAGCTGATTTAATCTATGCATTATTGATATTGTTTAATTCAACCATGTCAGTTCAGTTTTTACTAATCTTGGTATTTGTGATAGATACTGAAATTGATGGTTTTTATTTGATGATAGATCAATATTTCTTCATTCTTAGTATTTTGTATATCTTTCCTTTTAACCAGGTGTTGTCGACTTTGTAAAGGCAGGCTTCCATATGCGTAGAGCTTGGAAAATGTACGAAAAGTGTAACAATGAGCTGAGCTTATCCAATGGGGAAGCTTTTACGAATGGAACTAAAGGGTCTAACAAGGGGACGCCAAAAAAGGTAACATTATGTTATATTTTTTGAGTTAGTTTATTCATACAAGTTTTTGCTCATTTGTGTCTTTCTTGTGTTGTGACACTAGTAATCTATTTATGCCTTGCTGTGGTGCCTTGTAGATTAATTCCTTTGGCTGATTCAATGTTTTTGCTGTTATTTTTTAAAAACAGTCCAGTTTCAGGCACCATTTCAGATCTCATAAAAAGACTCGAGAGACACACCTCTTAGTGAAATCTCAAAATTAGAATATAACCGACAAAATACAATATAACAAAATTAGAATTTATGGTTTGTAAAAATAGCAGATAGGTTTTTCCTTTCATTCATCAAAAATAATTATTATATGAAGCACTCTCAAAGTAATAACGAATTTTTGCGAGAGTTACTTTGTTTTCTTCTCCGCGTAAAATATTCAGTAACATTCCTGTTATGTTTATGTTTTTCTCACTTATTTTCAAATTATTCTATAAATTCATTTTTTCCAATGTCAAATCATCGGATCAATTGACAAAAATTTGGCCAATAATGAATTCGAATTTTTTTTCTAGAAACTTGGTGACCGAAAAGCGTCCCCAGAGCCATTGTCTTCAGAGTCAAAAGCCACCTTGAGGTCGTCTTTGTCCTTTGGTTATGGGCTGATCCAGGTTGCCATTTCAATAGTTCCAGCTGGTCTTCTTAAAGTCTGCGAGCTTTTAGGCTTTACTGCAGATCGCTATGTAGGCTTAGAAGCCTTAGAAATTTGTAGCAAATCAGAAGATATGAAGGCGCCAATAGCTAGGTATGGAAATCTCTTTTACGCGTATCTAATGTATAGTAGCCTCGTACGAGAATCTTTGTTACCTAAAGTATAAGGCCTAAGCAAAGTTTTGCTGTTGTTTATAACGTTTTTTCTCGTGCTCGCTCAAAAACCCGATTTCGTTAATTCAAATCCCTAAACAATGTTGATTATTATTTCAACTGGGACTTCTTTCTGGTGCAAAGAAATTTGTTGACGAATAATTGAATTTCTGCTTATGATTTTAGAAATGAAATGTCTTGCTTTGCTTTGAATGAACCCATAGGGACTCCTTTTGTGAGAAACGCCTCACTTAAGAAAATATCTAGTGTAAAAAAACTGGGATGTTAATGCTCTTGAAGCTTAAACAGTCATGTTATAACAGCTTTGGACTCCAGTTACCCACGATGTTGAGATTATCAATGACATTCGTCCATCGAGTATGACGTCAAAATTTGTATCTCCAGGTTAACTTTACTGTGGTATCACACTGTGGTTAGGCCGTTTTGTGCTCTGGATGGAAACAATCTCGAAGCAGGTAACTTAAATTAGGAGATGCGTTAATGTTTCAATGTCTTTTGTTTTGTCTTTCATACTTTGTATTAGGTTACGAGGTAGACTGTCCGTGTGCTGAACTCTCTTGGTTGATTAATAATGCTTTCTCGGCCGCCATTTTAATCTTTAACAAAATAGTTTCATAGCTGTTTGACTTTCTTGGCAGCTGTAAGACGCTCAAATCATAAGAGATTTAAAACGTAAAATTTTCAGCACAAAATAATGCAAAGCAACAGATAGTTAGAAAGCCATTAAGTATTTGATGATCTTCTTCCAGTAGCAATTATTTTCTTGCTATGGACCAACATACTAGATTGCTATCCTTCCCCCCCCCCCTCCCTCCACATCAGGGTCATATATCTACATACTGGTGTTTAGTTAACCATATAAGCAATAGTCGGTTAAAAGCAGAATTGGTGAGCAAAGTGTCTGTGATAAGAGGTTTCACAAGCTGATAACCTAAAAGACTTTTGGTATTTTGTCAGTTTTGTTGTGCCTTATTGGTGTCATAGCAATTTTGAACAAGCTGTTATGTCCTCACCATTGATTGATCTCCGATGTGATCACTACAACTGGCGCATTGCAGGTTTTGGCTAGCTCTATACATTGAGAGTGAATGAGTGTTAAGAGCTTTTGTACAGCCATTGTATTCAAATGAGCTTTTTAGCAAGGATTTGTAGCTAGTACCAAGAACGGACGCAATGACATTTTGCTCCTTCTTTGGGGTAGGAAGATGTTAGGAAACATGTAAGCCTGATTGACTCAAAACAGTCAGAAATATAAATTCATCTAAAATTCCGATATCTGAATTCATCCATTAAATCTTCATATTCACACACTTACAGCCCTGTCAAAAATCGGATTAGCCATCAAAAGGAAAAATATCACTTCCTGCTAGTTTATTAAAAGTCAGCCCTTTTGTTTGAAACAAAAATGAACACGAACAGCTTCTTAAACCTTTTGTTTTTCTTGGATGTAGGTTTATTAGAAGCTTCAAACATTCTTCAAGAAACAGAGGTTGCATACCCAAACTCAGGAATATTTCTATATTTCAAAGCATTGATTCATCGATTGAAGGTAAATTTCCTTAATTATATGTGCTGTCATCAGTTTAAACACACTGTTACCTAGGAAATATCATAATTCTGTCTTCAATTGAAGAAGCTGGCATCAGATCCAGAGTTCTGACTCTTTGTCTACAGAACGGTTCCCATTTTTCATTTGCATTCAAGCCTGCACTGATTTTACTAATCATGCTAAGTTCTACACAGAAACGGAAAGAGCCCATCAATTTTTTCGTGTACATTAGCTTGGAATTCTTACAAAAAAATCTAAATTAGTATCAGCTTTTGAAATGTGTTTTGACAAAGCTTTCATAATCAGCTGTAGTTTGACATTAGTAATGTCACAACATGGTTTTGCCTATTCAGTTTATGTTTCAAATTTCACTGAAATTGTATATTTATGTTTTTTACTTCCTTACTTACTGTTGTATTCCGTTCATCTGCTAAAGCATCTTAGCATCTTCACCGCTCCTAACTTTCCTGTCCTTTAAAATCAGGACACGAAAACGCTTTCGATCGGTCGTTTTCAAAGTTTTGTCACAAACTCGGGGTGAGCTAAAGGATTGTATGTAGAAAGTACTTCTCTATTGCAGATTTTGTAAATAATTCTCTTGCCAACAGTTTGTTTTTAATATTTGATATTTGAGCATTAGGCCATGTTTTTAGCGCTGAAGATCGATTTTAATGTTTATTATTTGCCCAGGGAGAGCTTGACGACGCCCTAGAGGTTCTAGAAAGGGCCATGCTGACGACCACAGATCAAAGAGAGGTTGCTTTGCTGTGCTATTATGACAAGGGTAAATGTTTTTAGGCCATGTTCTCCGTCCTCATCTACTGTGGTTTCTTTATCAGTCCTTTAGCATGCAAAACTTGCTTAAATGGATGGCGAGATTATACATTCTAGCCGCCTTCTTTGTTGCACAGTCTTGACAGCTTTATCGTTGTTAGTGGGACGTATTTTAGCGATTAGAAACCTAAAGCTTAATTTTAGTCCGAAAACACTGGCAGTTTTTTTTCGTAATTGAATTACGGTTGCCAGAATCTTGAAAAAATATCGTGATTTGCAGTGCTTATATTTTATCTTCATTTCTTGTTGAAAACACTTCAGTAAGCAACTACAATCTTTTAACAAGCTACAATTTAATTAAACAATTAGAAGTGAAGATTTGATGCAAAGTTTTGCTCCATTTGAAAGGTTGCGTGAACATGCAAAGCATAATGATGGTTTTGTTACTGAAACTTTCTCGTTTCTTTGTGATCTCACGTTTTTGAGATCTAGCTTTGTTATCAACCTTTGCTGACGTAATATCCCTGTTTCCTTGCAGGCTGGTGTTATATGATGAAATTAGAGTGGGAGAAGGCGATCCCGTGCTTTTCGAGGTATAAAACTCGCCTAATACACGTTGTTACACAGTATTGTATTGACAGCATGAAACTCTATCCTACCTCTCTTCCTCGTACCCTATCCTCTTTTCATTTCATGTCATTTGTACAGCATGAAAAGTTGTAAACTTGAAGTGGTAATGACATTTGTGGAGACATGTGACATAAAATGTTTAAAGAAAGGTGCATTTCTCCATTCAACGTCATCAGTCAGTCTTCTCACTGCTGTTTGCAATGCAGGCAAAAATCTTGGTTGTTGTACTCAATGAAACCTTGTCAGCTCCCGTAAGGTACCTCTTAGTCAGAAGGAAGAAGTTTTTTTGCAGTATTGTATAGTTTTACTTAGTTATGGGAAATAAATGGCAACTCATGTGACAGTTTCTGTTTATCTTCATGTCGTGACATTTTATAGCATCTAATGTGAATTTCTTTTGAATGATGTCTTTAGTATTTTATAAGTGCTTAACTTACGTGTATTTTTGCTGAGTTATATGTTGTTTATCATATGTTTGCGTTGTTTTTGAAGGCTCAGAGGGGATTCCAAATGGTCTGAAGCCTACTATACATACTTGCTGGCGGGTACGTTGTTTTTTTCACTTTCTGAAAATTCTTGTTTTACGTAAAGACTCTTTAAATTTCTGTATTTATTGAGCTGGTGTTGTAATAACAGTTTCTTTTAATGTAGACATGCAAAGCTCTAACTTTAGCAATGACGGAAGATGCGCGAGTTTCAGAATGGTTTTTTAGGACACCTTACAATGACGCCGTCATTATCCAGTCTACTTACAGTCTATCTGTGCTTTTGATGCATACTTTACTAAAACGTGGCCTCTGACTAGATTCACTGGACTGAGCACATGCAAAATGATCTCTTCTTTACGTCTGAAGGATCTCGAAGTTGCTCTCTAGCATTCGCAAAATCCGCGCCCCAAACTGCGTGTGTTGAGAAACTGTAACATTTTAAAGACATAGGAATAGGTTTCCTTCTCAAAGCGTCATTTTTTAGTTGATAGGACAGGCTTTCAAAATCTGTACGAGGTAACTTATTGTAATAAGTCTGATGGCTACCCAAAGTATTGCGGTCATAACAAAGCATAACTCAGCCTGTTTGGATACACCCTATTCTTTTATCATTACTCGTTGCTTTTTACCAATACTCAGTTCAGGTTGTGGTGAGATGTGTAGCCATCGAAAATATATATCAATAGTACTTTCCGATCTATTCAAATGAATTGCAGTAGAAAAGTGGAGAATTTAGATTATGAAATGTGACTAAAAAAGTTGAAATGCACGTTAAAAAGTAAAGTGAAAAGCTGGTTTAAGTCACGACGCGAAAAGTCTTTTCCCTCCTCCTATTCAATTAGCCAGGGTTTCAACACCTTAAACAAGGAAATCTAGATTTGATAACATTTGAATTTATTTGCTTTTTCAATAACCTGGCCTTACTTGTGGTCTTCAGCTGTAAACCTGCACAGAAACATCAAATCTACATGATCCATTTGAATTAAAAGTCAGCGTGTGTAATATTGTTTTCTTTTTCTTGTAGTTACGGAAGGCGCTTTGGGACGTACAACAAGTGCATACGATTATTTGCGATCGGTTCCAAAGTTGATAATCAGAAAAACTCAGCTTGAAAATTTCTTAGCAAGAAAGGTTCGTTTATATTCGATTTAATATTTTGGCTTGGTACAATGTTGTATATGAATAATTCAAACGCCTGGTGATATCTGAGCAGTTGCTCGATGCTTGCATTTAGTGTGAAACTCGGAGTAGCAACTTAAAACCGTCCTCTTTTATACACCAAGTAGCGTGTACAACTCGGCCTAAACGGCATCGAACACTTAATGACAGACCGGTAAACAGTAATTTTCATTTTGAATAATTGTAGATTTATTTCAAATATTTCAGCTATTTTAAAGCTGCTAAGTTAATCACAATTCATTCGTAAAATTTGAAATGAAAAAAGAGATTGAAATTTCTTGTCTGGGCTGAAAAATTTCACTTTGCTTTAAAATAAGACGGAAGAAGTGATAGAGATAAGTGTAAATGAAATGTAATTTACTTACTTTTAAAAATTGTATAACTTTATGAACCAATTTTTAACTTTTGGAACCTTCGTCCTTTCCATATTCGAATGCACTGGTTTTCTATTTTTGATCAACTTCTTTTAGGCCAATCTCTTCAAGAAAGTTGAGCCTACAAAGGAGGAATACACAATCTTATGCCTAGAGCTGTTATACTTATGGAACGCTTTATCGCAATGTGGAGAAAGTTCCTTACGCAGAATGCTAATTGGTAAGTTTGTATTTGGTTTTGATATTATGTAAACTGTTGAAAAGGCAATGGGCGAAATTGGATGACCATTCGGCAATCGTTTATTGGGGTACAAGATAGCGCTTGCTTGCAGACAAAAACTCCAGTTTAACCTCAGTTTGACGTCACAACGTCTAAATCATTTTTAGTTATGCACTGATAAACTGTGTTTAATATGTAGATAGAATGAGCATTGGGTACCATATTTATTGAATAAGCATTATGTGTCCAGGAAAGAAAGCCGGGCATGTTGAGATCCAGCCAGTAACACGTATTCTCAGTATAGTAATTCTATTTGCTGATGGCTAGGTTTGCTTATAAAATGGCTGGATTATAAACAATAATTAAGAGTTTTTGTTTAATTCCAAGAGCCATTCCCCCTTGTTGCCTTAAATGTCCCAGTCCTGTTATTTTCATGGGACCCTCGGTAAAGTGCGCCCCAAAGTCATTTTTTAATCAAACTGACCAACGGAAAAGAAGTCATTTAATTCAATCAACATTTTCCATTTTAGCCTTGGAAAACTGTAGATCACCCTCGATGCAGCCGTTAAAGATCCTCATCATGGGTGTTGTTTACGCCACCCTGAATGACAGAGCAACAGCAATGCAGGTAAGAGTTGTTGTTTGTGTGGGCCTGCTGGGGTTTGGGAAAGGATCAGCTGTGAGAATGGTGCTGTGATATATTAAATGCATGCCTGTAGGCAAAAACGCTTTGGTAGCAGATGCTTAAGGAGGTGCTCAGTGATGAAGCCTCACCAGGTATCCTAAAGGTAGCATTTACATAAGGAAAAAAGGCTACTTGGGAGGCCAGGACCTTAGAGCTTCATATTTGGAGCTAGCCTATAAAGCTGTCTCTACTATCTAACAAGGAACTCGACGATGCTTTCTTTATAGGAATATAATCTTGCATTCAGAGAGTATTGTTCGATTATGTATAATTATGTTTAAAATGTTTGAAGATACTGTGATGGCAATTCAACACTTATCCTGGTTAACTAAGGCCTAGCCTGACTAACATAATTCCATATAATGTTTTTATCCAGCCTTCATGTTTATACTTTCAACTACCCTTTTCTTTCCAGTACTTGCATGTTGCATCTGCAAAGAATGAAGGCAAACCCATGGACCCCCATGTTGTACCGTTCTCATTGTATGAACTTGCAGTTTTGCAGCTAGAAAATCCACAGGTAAATTTTTATATCAATAAGGTCTATTATGAATTTCAGATTGACAAATTCAACCAAGTTTGCAATATACCATCGTGGAGTTTGCGACGCCATGACACAAGTGGGACAAAACCGTAATAAACCGTAATAAATAAAATGGCAACCTTTATCATCGAAATTTGTAAATTCCTCTTTAGCACAAAAAGCTCCATTGATAATCAACGCAATTCAGATTTTCATTCAGAAAGTATTTTTCTATATTCTAAAGAAGTTTCACGGCCAAAGAATTAAAAGAACAGCCTCTATCTACCATGGATTTTTCACTGATTTACCCCCACCTGGAATTGGAACTTGCTATGGAACAATAGAATTCCACCATGGCGTTGCGAACACCGAGATGGTCTATCCGTATCGAAATGCATTGCAAATCAATACACAAATGAACCTGATGTCCACGGACAGAAAATATAAGTTCGCAGTAAACTTGAGTTTATTATGCATATTCGCAATGAGCTCCTTATTGTCACGACTTTGATATTTTGCCTTTTGCTTTCTATACTGTTTAGAGTTTGTGGGTTATTGAAATTTTGCATAAAAGCTAGCGAAACTGGTTTTTTTTACAGCAACCATAAATTCTCCATTGGTAATACCCACATTGCAGATCATCATAGATGCCTCAACTCTCAGTCCCTATTTCTCTGACAATATATTTGCCAAAGCGCTTGTAACAGCTAAGCGATAACTATGGCCACTGCTTGCCTACAGAGAAACAGCCTATTCGATTTCTTTACTGTGGGTCGTTCAAATTTGTTTACATGGTAAATAGTTTACGTTAATGCCGTTGTTTATATTAATAGGAAGCTGAAAAAGGAAAATCACTGCTCATCAAAGTCAAGGTATTGTCTTTACCTTTATTATGTTCTTTACTTTTTGGTTAATAACCCAATGCCTGTAAACCACTCTAGAAGTTTATTGATTTATAACAAGGTGTTATTTTCCCCGTGACCGTACAGAAGATGATATTTCCTTCACATAAATGCTTTGTTGTTAATATTAAAACCTTAGACTTTCACAAAAATTCACTCGCAGAAGTTGTTGATAACATCGTTAATTCTGCTTTGTATTTATGTATCTCCTGCTTGTCTTCAACAACACAATTTTCATTGCACTTTGGAGAGTTTAGATATCAATAATTCCGACCTTTTTTCACGGGAAGTTTTTTCAGAAGCTTTGCGGTCACATGAAATATATAAACAAATAACAACCTGATCTGCAGTATTTTTAACAAACTATAAAAGATGCGGGTCTTTACTTTTGCATTCGGTATTGGATTTGCTTTATTGTTGGTTCCATCCATGGTTGGGACCGAGTACCTTGTGTTTTTCCCGCCATGAAAGATGGCACCTGTAAACAACACTACATCAGAATCGTTCACGGTTGAGTATTGTTGTTATATGAAACTGCCAGATTATTTCCGCAATTGGTCTTGTTGCAAGCCTTATTCAACTGATATTCCAATATTTACATGTACCGAAAATATTTTCAAGATATCGCACCCCAACCCTTCCCCCAGCCCCACCAAGACCACTGTTGATATGTCTACTATTAGAAAACATATAAATGCCAGCATTAACCTAGGCTTGTCTATTGGCTATTTAACCTAGGCTTGTCTATCAGCTAGTTCACTTACTGAAGATGGCTGAGAAGCGTAGCAGCGTAGCCACCGCTTATTCATTACCCATAGTTACGTAACCTAGTAAAACAGGATCGAAAGTGTAGTGAAGAATTTTTCCGTCTTCCATTGCAATGCTGACGTTTTAAGGGCGTCATGGTTATTCAAATTCCCGTTTGTTATCCCAACATGCTAATACGAGCTCTTACTTTTGCAGGAACAATACAAAGACTACGATTTCGAAAACCGTTTGAATTTCAGAATTCATGCAGCCTTGAACTCATTGAAGCCAAAATAATCTTTTTGGTTTTGTATTTTTAAAAGTAGGTTAGGTTGTGAAAGCTACAACCTATTTGATCACAGGAATTTAGGAGATTGGAAAAGAAATTATTTAGGGGACATATAATTATTAATCGTATGGCTAGATCCTTTTGCAATAATGTAATCGCTAATTTGAGTCTTATTTTATTTTGGAGTCTTATTTTTTAATCAATAGCTTGTTTGATTTTCTAATGATTAATATAGAAAATATATGTCAGGTAAGTCGGCTGTGTATAGACCTAATTGATTGCGAGAGTATTTGTTTGGAGAATTTGTATTACTTCAATTAAATTTACTTGATCTTTCGGTTGGTCAAGTCTATATATATATATGTAACTAAATAGTTAGGAAGCTGGGATGGGTACGAAATGGCGCTTAATCAGTGGTCTAAGACATTTTATTTGTCTGAAACTTCTAGGTAAACTAGCCATTGCGTCTGTAGCGTTTTTCATGGTAATTTGATTGAGCCAACCTATTGTGTAAACTCCATATAACGGACACTTACAATACCAAAGTCCTCGTCTGTTTAAGGAACATGTCCGGGAGCTGTTTTATGAAATTTCATTGTATTATCTGTTGATAATATTTTCCCACTCTAAACATTCATGTCTGCTGACTCAAATCTTCTCAATAATTTTTTTAAATTTTGTTTGAGGTACGTAGGTTTTGTTTGATAAGTACATGACCAAGCTTGAGTGCTCTTTTCGTTTGATGCAAAATTCAAAGTTGTTCCAAACTTTTTATAACCGACCGCGCATCTGATACTTTGGTAGCTGAATGTCTACCATTTTGTCAATAGCGGCAAAGTGAGGTGAATTGTTAACAAACAGGATAATATTCCAACTGACATTGTTGCGATAACAAAGGATAAAAAACATTTAGAGATTAGTGAGGTTTCCCCCGAAAACATAACGTTCCTCGTATAGAGTGCAATTTTTATGTCGAAAATTAAAGGTACGGTCTCTTAAGGCAGCTGAGCTGGCAGTTTGAGCTGAAATTAGTCGCGTAAGACATCAAGTGACGTCATTGAAAAATACAGAATACACTGGAAATACTTGTAACTATTTATCTTTATATTATGCCTCTCAAGCTATCCTTGTATATCAGATATTACTTTTATTGCGTTAAGTATTGCTAAATTTTTTCCTTTAAGTTATCTTCCGTTCGCAGTCTGTTGTTAAAAATTGATTTAGTTGTTAGAAAGTAATTTATAGATATCTGACTTGGGCGGTAAACCTAAATAGGCAATATAATTGTATTCTGTGGGAAAAATATAAGTTAAACTTACAGAATGTTATGAAATTGTTTTTGTCTTAATGTTTTAAATTAGAGCCTGGATTGCCATTAGATGTGTTTTACGTTATTTAGTTATTTTATCATGTTTAAATTGAAGCAGTACCATTGATTCTGTGAGTAATAAATACTTAACTAACGAATAGTAAACAAAATGGAAATCTTGAAACGACCACCTTTCGAGACAGTATAGTGAAATTTCCTTGTTTTTCATTCGAATTCAGCAAACTACAAAAGTCGCTTTGAAATTAGTGAAGAGTAAATATTTCCCCTTCTTTTTTACTCTATTTGCCTTACCATTATTTACACTCTTCGAGTGCCCATTCATTACACTCTTCCTGCACCCATTCGGCACATCCTCCGTGTGCCCCAACCCTGTATCCTACCGATTTTCCTTACATAACAGACTTGCATCGGTCCCCTACTCTTCCCTTACCCTACCTTTCTCTTTCCCTGCTTCAGGCCTTCTAATTTCCATATCAGCAAACCAATACTTAACTTACACTACCAATTTGATTCAATCTACCCAACAGAATCAATACTGCGCAAATATTTATACGGTTCAGTTTCAACTGTTAGTTATAAGCTATTTATTGTAAATCTGCTAAAAATATCGTTTTATTATGTGGATAGGAGCTGTGTTCATAAGGACAACTTCACGTGATGCTACTGTCATTGCTTTCTTTCTTGTCTTCTTGAAACGATTGTGTACTTAATTTAAAGGTTTGCAAAAAGGTTGCAAAAACATATCGCATTGCTACAAACAAAAATGTTTTGCAAGGTGTAGCTTCATTAGAAAAAAGTTTTTCAGGGCTCTAAAATTTTTTCAAAAAACTTCAGGCGAACCAATGTTTTAAATTAGCCTCGATCAAATCAACTGAAACTATGCACAAAAGTTGATTTAATGGCGTTTGAGCATTGTAACATTTCCGTAGAGTCAATAACTTCAATGAACTCATTCTTATCTCTTAAAACTGCAGGAAGAACGTTAATTGCAAAATTCGGAGCCTACGTAGATATTGATTGTAACAACTATACTAATCCAAAAATCATTTTGTTCTATCAAACTAGTGTGTATTGATCAATAGGTTCAGGTACCTGGAAAGAAAATAAACAGGTCCTTCAGTTTGTCAATTAGTCTATGATTTCTCTTTTCAAGTTGAAAACAAGAAATTTGTTGTCCAGTTCTACAATGGGATATTTTCAAAGCAGCTGACCTGGTCTTAGGGGGACACTGGTAGAGCCCTAAGCGGAGATTATTCGCATTTGTAGGTATCAAAATGTGACTTAACCAAATAAATTTTGGCCACTTGCAGATGGCAGGGCGTTATTTTGAAGAAAATTAAGGACAGGAAGCCTTTTTCTTGTCAGTGAATAGCAAAATTTGTCTTGAACTGGAAAAGAATTTGAAATGAAAGTGAACATTGTCTAGAAGGTTCTAGGGAGGCATGTATCCGCCAGAAATTACTAGAAGGTGAATATTTTCACCAATCTCCTCTGCAAAGTAAGATAAAGGTTTTGATGGAGAAGTACGTATAGGATACTCGACAACCTCTTTAAGGAATTCACCAAGAGCTGTACCACAAGGCTGTTTGCCTTTGTCTTTGGTGAACTGAGGCATTGGTGAAGAAAAATCATGTTCAATGTCCTTGAAATTCTGACGGTTGTGGGGGATCTTAGACTAGCTGACTGCCGACAGGAAGGCTATACCCCCTTTGCCCCACATTGCCTTCACCTTTGGTCTTTTTAAAGGGATCAAGTATTTGACACTGGACCTGCCATGCGACCTGTTTTCAGTGGAGTGACAACTGGTGCCTTTTAAAGTGTATGAATATGAGGGCATCATTGCAAACATATTTGATTACAAACCTATATGGGATTCAAAATGAAGATATTTAAGACTGGTCTAGTTGCAAATGTTTGTCAAAGAAAGATGAATGCTATCTTATTTCTGTACGGGGGTACCCATAAAAATGGGGGAACCTTACATATTTTTGCTAACTGGAACCTCGCATGCTCATTTAGATACCTCCAATGGTGGCACAGTTGCTGAAGATGCCAATGTCAATATTTCACAAGTCTGGCGATAAATGAAATGCAGTGCTGCTGACAGAATATAAGACAAACAGATAAAGATTGGATTTTCTTATTCTATCTACATGATACAAAATGGACTTGACCCCCTAGAGGCACACATTACGAGACATAAAAAATGATAATACCAATAACAGCAACAGCAAATAATGGCTCTTCTCGGTTATCCTCATTGATCAGTGGTTATTTTACACGCTGTGTCTACCACTTTTTATGGGTTCCCTGTACCTGTCTCTTATTTTCCACTGGATGAAGGTTGGCAGGTGCCTCACTCCATTCTTCACCGAACAAATTTCCAATTCAAATCAACAAAACCTCCCACTCTTCTCATTGTTTGAATTTATTAGAGTTTAGTCAAAATCTTAAAAAGCTCAGAAGATAATTCATACCTTCGTTTCATTTCTATTTGATTCACTATATTTCTACCTAAAGTAGAAAGAGTCGAATCCTATCACTCTTAGTAAAGCCTGGTTTCTATTAAAAACACAGTCCTATCACGCCCATTTCTGGTTTTATCTGCTGTAAGGAGATTGAACATTCTCCTTACAGCAGATAATGAGAGGATTCCATAGAATTGTATCTATCGTAAGAAATTCTATCATCCGATAGTAACAGCAGATACAACTATATAGAAACCAGCCATGCTAGAGCTGTTTGCCAGAGCTTTTATCCATATTGCCATATCTAAAGTCGAAAACCCACTCCGGAAAATGATCCGCGGATCGGATCAGATTTTGTATCGCGGATCGGATCAGATTTTGATGCAAAAATGGCCACAAGACTGATCCGCGACGGATCGAAACGGATCGAAAAACAAGTTGAAAAAATTTTAGCGAACCAAATTCAAGTGGCCATAGCAAGTTTTATAAAAGTTATAAGATGACTTTTCAAGTGGAATATGTTGGAAAATTTATCAAGGTTTGATGGTGCAAAAAGTAAAAAAAAAATATAATTGATTTTTGCCATATCTCTAAACAATATCGACATGTCGCAAAAGCACAAAAATTGAGGCAAGATGATTGAAGTACCTGTGAGACATTTGCAATAATAAAGTTCATCTTTCACCAATTTGCGATATCTTGTTACCATGAACTCTTGGGTAATTACGCTATGCTTGGGTGCCTGCTAAATATCTCAGTCGGGAATTTTTGGAGCCGCAATAGGCCTAATCGCAGCGGCCGCTTCGTGATATATTGCAGCAAAATTCAATCAATAAAATGTGTCACAAATCGTAAAGTTCTTCTTTTCCAACCGATTGCGCTTTTGTAATGGGAAAAAATAATGCTGAAAATTGCGTAAAACAACATTTCGTCTTCTCATTAAATGAAAATACCAAAATTCCCACGATAAACAGGTTCACTCGAGTGCCTCAATAGCTGTAAAAGAGTGGACATAATAAAATAGAGTAAAATATGCCACTTTCCATCAAATATCATAATTTATTATGAATTTTTGCCATTAGAACCCATTTTGTATAGGATGCATTTAGGCAACATACTCATTCGGCAAGCCAAATATTCGCATTTTCTGGCAAGATTGTTAAAATGTAACAAACTTTTTTATCTTTAATTGTATCACTATATATGAACCTCGCTTCAAGTTTGTTCAAAAAGAGGTTGCCTCATGTTATGGATTGAAACTCATTGATACTTCATCGTTAAAATTGATAGTTGTTATCTGACATAAAGCAAGAAATGGCACCATAACTGTCATAAAAATACAAAATAACATTTCTAGTCCCAAATGTAACGGTGCTGTCTCTAAAGATTCTGTCTCCTTTGCCAGAATGTTTGTGAATATTAAAATACGGTAGTCAAAATAATCCAAACATGGTAATCGAATAATTGAACTTAATCAGATAGCATAATAATTATCAATGCTAGTAATAAAAGAGAAGATGTTGCATAAAATATTCTGCATAAATAATTAGTAATACCTTATCATCGATTGCTTTGTGACTGCAAGTTTCAGTTCAGCGGTGCAGCAACCTGCATTACATCAGCTGTTGTATAAAAGAGATAACTTTATCAGTAATATGCTCATCCACGAGCTGGATTATTTCAAAATGACCAAATGGATACTCTAGCAAAAACCCTGACAGAGACTTAACAAACTTATTTGTTGCCGCTAGATAATCAAGCACTTTGGAAGCCTTAGATTTTTGCCTTAAATTTTCTCTCTTTCAACAACCAGATTTTTGGAGGCCTTAGATGTATGCTCTGAAGGCTACCACTGTCTCTACGCCACTTAATTTTAGATTAATGACAAGAACGGCGACAAAAAAGTAATTGCAATAGTAGTTTTCTTCTATTGACTTGAATTCATTGACAGTACAATTTTTGACTAAATCAGAATCTATTAATCTTAGATGATTTCTAAAAACAATAGAACTAAAGGCACTGTTTGGGGAAGTCATTTGCGATGTTTGTCTATAACCACACCAGTTGTTTCCACTTTATATTCTCATATTTCAGGTGCAGTTTTGGCTTCAATCTGTCCAGTCTTGTAACATTAGTATTAACACAGATGTATGTATGCTTTTCCTACCAGCTGAAATAATTTCTTAACAATTTTTTTAATTGATTACGTTCATGTCTGTGTAAAATTCTAAAGTATTGAGCAGGGACATTGTCAGCAAACATTATGTGGATGATAGATTTCCGCATAATATTTGCTGATAATGTCCCTGAGAAGCAATGATGCAGTCGTATATTTTTAGAAAGTACAACGCAAAATCAAAATTTGTTATATTCTCTATTCAAAAACTTCGCTATTTGTACTTACATCTAGTATGATACTGATATTTGAGAAGCATAACAATACTATTTGTTTGGGTGGGTAGTATAACGCTAAAGCTCGAACATTGTAGGAAGCGTAACAGCGTTATGCCGCGTTACCTCTCCACTACATCACTGCTGAAAGGGCGATATCTGTTTGATACCTTACAGTGTCTGCGGAGCACTGGAAGATTATTTTGTCATAAACGCAATAAATGCTCATCGGAGACCTTTATGAAAATAGCATCACATTAGACCAACTGGCCTACTGGGAGGCCAAATTTGAGAAATCTGGCCTTTTACAAGAATATTTGGCTACGTAATTTTACCTTTGGCCTCCGGCCTCAATTTGGCTATTTTTTGGCCTCCTAAATGAATGTTTGAAAAAGAGATTGAAAGCCCATAAAACCATAAAATGTCCATAATATGTCAATGAACCAGACAGAAACTTGAGGTTGCATTGATTTAAACCAAATGTGACCAGTGCCTGAATTGCTTATGTAATGACGTTAAGTCATCGCTATAGCTTATTTTTTTCAGACTTGAGTGACTAACTTTTCGAGTATTTCCTTTGCTAATGTATTGAAATAGAATTTGCAAACAATCTTTTGGTGATACAAAACTTAAAATGTTTTCGATCTATGTTCTAACCATTTTCCAATTGACTATGTTCTAACGTTTTATACTCTGAAGAATATGAGACGAGAAGCTTTAGTATGACTCAAAATGTTTGCTTTTTTCAAAGCCATCTACGATATATGATGTAAAGAGCATCACGGTGTACACACTGTTAGATAGAGTCACCAAATAACAAGTTGGTGAAAAGAGCAATGAGACTTTTGAATTCCAGTTCTTTTATTTTTACAAGTGGCACCAAGGAAGTTTGAAAAGCTTAGAAAATAGCTGATGAATAATCTATTTAGCATGCCCTTTTTTGTTGACTATTAATTAACAATTTCGAAATAAAATTAACAATCTATCAGTAATCAATAACTCGCATAATAGCAGAAATTGATCACATGTTTGTAATAAGTCACAATAAATAGTGAATAATTCTACATTTTTCTCGAGTTTTTAATTTATGATTACCAAATGGCAAGGTAGATATGACAGTGCAAGGAAGTTTATAGAGTGCAATGTGTTTGGCTTATAGAATCTACTGATGGGAAAGGAAACGGATATACTACAATCTGTGCTTGTTCTATACTGCGCCTGCGCATTGCAACGTCATTGTGTTATTGGTAAGTTTGCCTATTGTGACGTGATTTGGCCTATTTTCATAAACAGTTTGGCTACTTAGTACCCAGACCACCTGGCAACCCTGCATAAGACAGACTTTTGCAACAAAACAAATAAATTGTTACACATTTCCATCTTGATGGCCCTCTTGAGAAACACGTCTGTGACAATTTTCGATGTTGTTAAGGCATTAATGATGCGAATATCGATGTTCACGTGATGATGCATCTTTTTTATCATACTTCAGTCAATAACAATAAACTAAGACTCCGTTTACACTGCGCCGGATACAATTTATCCGCATAAAGTTTGTTCGGATTGATTTGCGTTTACACTGTGCCGCACAAATTTGTCCACTTTGCCCTACCGTTTACACTGTGCCGGATAACTGCAGTCACATGACCTAAATCATGCACAGAACGCCTAAAATGAAGTCTTCTCTGGGCAACAAAATAATAACAAAATTCCCGCCAACGTAAAAAGACTTCATTTTCTCTTCAGAAACATCTGCTTCTCTTTTAGACCAAATCCTAAGATATTGTCAATACAAATTAGGCCTAGTTTGTTTTAATAGTTTGTTCTTGAAATAAAATGACACTGAACTAGCAATGAAAGTAGGGAAAGCTGACAAGGATGCCAATTTTACGTGGACTGACAAGATATTGCACTTTTAACACGAGTATTTATCGACAACAAGGCAGCCAAGATGGCGAAAGGTCTTGATTGGGAGACAGTGAAAACTAAATTGGATGAAATAGCCAATCGCTTTCGAGCAAGATACGATGTGGATAAAATTTATCCGGATAAAAGCGTTTACACTGTACCACATAGCTATCCGAACTAATTTAATCCACTTTCCTAGGTGAACTAATTTTGTTCGGATAGCCGCTCTTAAATTCGTGCGGATAGCGTGGGTCTAGTGTAAACGCGACGCCTATCTGAACTAATTTTGATGCGGATAAAATTTATCCGGCACAGTGTAAACGGGGTCTAAACTACATATTATTCGGTGGTTGAAACGGGTTTTCGATGTCAAATTTCCGTAATTATTCTGTGGTGGTTTAATTCTTCATACCATACGTTCGAGTCGGACTTAACGTAAGTCGAACTATTTGGTCTGGTCCTTGATCTTACTGCTCGTTACGCTGTACTCTATTTTGTAAAGTTGTTGTAAAAGGGCTCTCGGACTAGACCGTAGCGATAGAGAACCTTTAAGACTTAGATTGATTGCAATGAATTAAACTATTTCACTGCACAACTAAAAAAAACATTCAAACAGCTTTGAATCGTCAAAGCATTTCAGGTGATTTGACAGGTCGATATATTTTTACATCGATGACTCGAGGAAATAACATCTTCAGTGAAAAACTTTATCTGATTTCAAGACTTGATGAATAGGTCAAACTGCGAGGAAGTGAAATAAACAATGTATTTCATTAAACATCACCCTCAGTGTCACGCCTTTGAATCAAATCCGCAAAGATCATTATCCCAGTTCGTAATTAAACACCTTCAGGTAAAGTCGACTTTTTTCAAGATGCAATTTTAAATATGGTTATAACAAGGCATTGTGAATCACACAGGGACGTAAAAGCATTTCAAAGTTGGAGGGATATGGGTGGGAATGGACACTTTCTTCTCATTAACAAGGAATATGCTGCAAATATTCTAAATTCGACAGGTGCTTCTTGTGACCTCGTTTCTGACGCCCCTGGAGTCATCTGCGTCAAGTATCTTCTAAATGTAACCTCAGCCACCGATCTATAGACCATTTAGATAACCCCACTCGAATTAAAATTCAGAAAAGACTAGTTTTTATATTTCCTTGGTTTAAAGGACTTCCAGACTTACTTTGGAAAATTCAGAACTGACTGCGAGATTAAGAATTTATGACTGGCCATTTGGAATTGCTAAACACATGAATTTGGAGCAGGTGGGGTTGTAGTGATGAGCCTGGCGTGAATCCATTAGTAATCCACAACTTTAGAATCTTGCCTGATTTAAATGGAAAATTTCCCCTAAAAGATGACGCTCTATTTTATGCTCTATATCTATATATATATATTGATAATTTATGTTTGCAATAGAACTGTTATCTGAAAGCAAAATTAGGCTAAAATGAAAATGCACCCTTGCATAATGGAGAGGAACGTAAAATTGGTAAAGAAAAATGCCCTAAGGCACAACTAGAAGAGCCTACAGTTACCCACCCATTTAGGTTAAATTTCATAAAATCTCATGTCAAAAAGAACGCATCAAACTACAATGCCGGTGCAGAGGGAATGCTCAATTCTATACAGCAGGTATCTATTTATTGGCATCGATATCATCATGAGCCTCAAGAATAAAACTGGCTTTTGAGTACCATAGGGCTAAGTCAAATAAGACAACACAAGTTTGTGAAAGCAACAACAAGATCATAACGCAGAGGATTTTGATGGATGAACAAACTAAACAAACCAGAATAATTACAACAAAACGAAATGGGACTGTATATATACAAAATGCCATATACGCAATTAAAATGAGCTGACATGTTTCTAAAGAAAGCAATTCAATGTATTTGCATGTTGCCCATTTTCTGGTTATAAGTGCAGTCAAATTGTGGAAATAATATTTCTTGAGAGAATCCTTATAACACAGATAAAATAACAAGAAAAGTCTAATTCATTAATAACACAAAAATTTGAGTTATTTTTTAGAAAAATCACCATCATTCTTACCAAATAGACTTTGGGGATCAACCAACAAGTCAAAATTACTCTTAATGGAACAAAATTTGCTATTCCATGATTTGCAAACTGCAATGAAGAATTCAAGGGCACTGCATTGAAATATTACCACAGCCAGTTATAACACCTAGCTCTTGAAATAGTTTGTGCACTGTTTGCAAATTTTTGGAGAACCAGAATCAAAAGTAAGAGTTGGTGTTTCAATAGAAAAATTATATAAATAAAGAAATCTGTTTGAAAGATTTCTAGCTAGTAAACTTAGCATTTTAACTTTAATGGAATTTTTGGACAGGAACAATGTTTCAGGGACAAACAGCATGTCATTGTATATACTTTACAAAAATTTGTCTTTGAAATTAGCCCAGTGCATTTAATCTCTTCAATAAAACCCTTCTAATTGGAGGTTAGAGCATTATAAACATGGTTCTGCACAGTTCATGTTCTGTCCTGTGCTTGTTGTATAGCATAAAAGCTAGTTTCGGTAGTGTAGGGAAGTTTCTGGTTGAATAGTTAACAATTGGCTTCAATTCTTTTCCTCATTCTCAGTTTGAGCATCTTTTTGCTCTACATTCTCAAAAAAGACCTTCTCATCTCCACAGCATGGTGGAGAAAGCTGTTCCTCTCCATCTGCAAGTTTACTTTTACATGCTGTTGAGTGCTTTCTTTGGGTAACTGCTTCTGGTGTTGGGATAGCCTTTCCAAGAAGAGGATTTGGGCCTGTTCGGTTTGTGCTTTTTGCCATATTGTAGTCCCCAGAATCAAAATATTTAACCTAAAAATAAAAAAAATATTGAAGATTCTCTTTGTTAAAAGTAAAACTTTGGTTATATCAAGTAGCAACATATCTCTGAATCCCTCCGTTCTCTCTGGGAAGTAATTAAAGAGTCTGAGAAGAAACTCAGGAATGGCCTTTTTGTTAACATCCAGTCAATATATCCAACTGAGAAAATGAAATTGGGTAACCATAAATCAGTGGCATAACCAACATTTCTTTATAAAGAAGAGGGAGTCGAAGAGTTTGCCTATGATGTAGCCCACTCTGCCTTTGGATTAGGGCAAAGCATTGTCATTACAGCTTGTCAAAAAATACCATGGTACAGTCTGCATCCATGCATCCCCTGGTTACACTAATGTCATAATGGACAAGTAATACTGCCAATAGTAACTGGACAGAGGAAAAAGAGAACCCTTTTGCCACTGTCAGAGTTATGTTGAAATTAGGTGGGGGCAAATTGATTGAATTGTAGGTAAAAATATACAACATTAAAAACAGCCAAATGGAAAAACTAAAATGAAAAATTGTTTCTATCATTAGAGTGCAACTGAAAGTGGCAGCATAAAATTGTCCTGTTCTACCAAATGCATATACATATTTGGATATAGGACATCCAGTATTATAAAACAAACTGGTACAGTAATCTTTTTGAGTTAAAAATGAGATATGAATTTACAATTTTAAATCTTTTATGCATCCATTCTTCACAATGAATGATTGGTAAAATAATATGAAAATTATTTTGAAACTATATTTTCATGAATCCTACAGTGTTTGTAATATGAAAACAGGTCACATGCAGTGTTTTGCACATCTTGATTTTTATTGCTGCTTTATTCCTGTTATCAAGAGATATAAAATACTGCTTTAAAAGGAAGCTTGTGTGCTATAAACTGAACAGTAACCATGGAAATTGATGGAGAAACTATTCCTGTTCTTCTTTTAAGATGCTAAATTTGATTTGTTTTCAAATTGCCAGGATACAATCATAGAATTGTTTTGCAATCATTTGAAAATATCTGGACTGAATAATTTCAATTTTTATAAAGCCTATGGGCCATCGAAATATATCTATGTGACATCACTGACTTAGGCTTCATTTACACAATGCCGGATAACTTCTGATCTGAATGAGGCTAAAATATTAGGGCCAAGCTTTGGTTTTCATAACAGAGCTCACTTAATATGATATCATATTATAATGTGTTGTTGATTGGAGCACTTCAAGGATCCAGCACATCAGGAGGATTCTTAAAAAAGCATCTGGGAAGAAAAGTGTGCATAAATTTCGGCAAAAATCTGGCAGAACAAGCACTTGGTGGGATAATTTTATCAATGATACTGTAGGGCCACAAAAATGGAATGAAAACTTGTGAATTTGCAGGGAGAGCTCCATTAATCATTGTGTTTGACTATGCCATTCGTTGAGAAAAATCTGATGCATCCGTACACGTGTAATGAGGAAGTTTATCATCTGTATTGAAAGTTGTATGGCAGTGTGTAAATGTGATCTATTTGAGAACTTTTTATCCGAATCAAAAGTTATCCGGCATCGTGTAAATACAGCCTTAAGTGTGATTGCCAAAATTATCATAGCGGATATCATAGTGGATATCATAGCGGATATTCATAAAGCGCCTCTTGACATGAGCAATTTCTGTAGACTGGGTTTTTTCCAAAGCCTTTAACAGTACCTCTATCAGTGAAAATCCCTTGATTGTGTGGCAATCCTCCACTTTTCCTTCGATTTAGAGAAAAACCCTTGATCTCAAATCAAGGAATGGGTGCCTTGCTGTTTGGATAAATCTCCTATGAGAATACATGGACACATTGGAAACAGATAGAACTGCCTTTAAATTTTGTGACTTTGCCTTCCTGCTACCTTAGAAATCTTCAATATGTATTTTCAAACGTTAAGGCTTTTCCTTGCAAATTTTTTGTTTTGCATGTGCCATGTTTCACATAACTCAGAAAATTTGGGCATGCACATGCAATCGCATGCCTCATATTACAAAGACTGATCATACCATTGCTGCTTTTGTCAATTTCATTATAATCAATTTTATGTACTTTTTATTTTCTCCATGCTACAATAGCTAACTGTTAATGATACTTGCAGAGTTTGAATTCAAAATTGGTACAGGATTGCCACATTAAAAAATTTTCTTGATAACAGTTTTCCTACTGCTCAAAGCCCTTTCAAAACAATGATTAGATAGGAACTGAATAAAACTACTGAAAACATGTGGCAAATACTTGTTACAGTTACATTCTTAGTTTCTTCAGCTTAAAGCTCTCATAAATTGTCAAAACATTAGATGTTCTGCGAAACAATAAATAGTCACAACTAAATGTAAAAATAAATCGCTGGGCAAGTGTATGAGAGCTCTAATTTTCCCAATTAAAAACAGAAGGTTATTTCAGCAGGTGAAGAAAACCATGATCTATTTAATCAAGTGTTGGTAGGGGGTCACCAGACTGGAAACTTTGTTGCACGCCCGCAATATATTGCCCGCGCACACATCTGCGCGCTTTTGCATATTGGCCGCGCAAAATCCCCTAGATCCTTAGACAATAGCATTTAACATTATTAACAATAAAAATAACTAAAAGTGTATGATTTCAGGCACGCAGTCTCAAATTTTCAAAGTAAACTTTTCCGCGCAAGAAGCAAAGTTTCCAGTCTGGAGGGGTCAAGTATTCCTGAGCCAGAGGCAATCATCTTTGATTGCATTCCAGTCTTAGGTAAATTTGATGATTATTGATATGATTTATTCATAAAGACAAAAATTATTGTCATATCAATTAAACAGATTTTAACTGTTTACTAATAAGTTTAAAACCACCCTACTTTGTAATTTGATGACAAATGAAAAACTCCATTAACTGACTTGTGATACAAATCTTTCTAACTTGTGAAACAAAAGTATATTTTTCTCATATCACAAATTGAACTAGCCTATCTTGACAAAATTCTGAAATATTTGATAAAAGGTTTACCCCTTTTTGTATCCTTTTTCTGAGAAAATCTGTACTGGCAGGTTTCTTTCCAGGGTATTTGTTTTTGAACTTCTGCTCTTCAGAAACCTGCAAAAAAACAATACATTGGCTAAGGTTTATAGGAAGTTCACGCCAGAGTAGTTGAATAATAAAATCATGCTGGGTTTAGACCAGCCTTTACCAAACAGGTTAAACCTCGATTGGTAAAAACAAGAGATGTAAAGTTTTAGAAATTCCTACCTCAGAGGCCGCCAAGTGTGGAGGTAATCCAAGCTTTGGTGCATTCATCTCTGTCATTTTGTGTTTGTTTTTTCATAAATATCCAAAAATTGCGGTTATTTTCAGCTACGTTCGATTCGAATTTCTTGCTTCTTTAGCCAGCCGACAACTTTGATTACGAGGCTTGAATTAATCCGTAAGAGAGACAACTCAAGCCGACTGCGCAGTAGTCAGTGAAAAGGCGTGAACGTTTAGAAATCATGACCCCATAAAATGCTTTAGGATTTGTTAATTGGCTCTAATTCCAACTACATCCTGCCTTAGCCATCCTTCAATTTACAAAACTTATATTTTGAATTTGGAAAGAGATGATGTAGAAGAATCAGGGTAGAAATAGAATTATCGATTATTACTCCTACATTTTGTACACTGAACAGGGGCGGCGCCTAGAAATTCAAAGTTAGGGGCTCGAGTTGATAACATAATTGACTGTGCCTGTGACATGATTCTCTTAATTGAAGCGTTGCACTGCTCTTATAGTAGATCTGAACTTTTTTTGAAATAAAAGCGTTTTGATATTGAAATTAAGCAAAATAGTGCGGCCTAGCCAAGTCGCTTTATCATCATTCACCGTTCTCTTGTGACGTCATGGGAGGAACTCGTTATTGTAACAATGTAAGCGCTACCTTCAACAATCTCATCCTCGCTGCCACTACTTTCTCTGGAAATATCGCTCATCTTGGACCTGTTAGATTTCCCTCATTGACTACAATACAAAAACTCGAAGGAGGAGGCGATCGGGTCCCTCCCGTGACGTCACCGTCTACTCATTCTGAAAGCCAAGATGGCAAACTTTGGCGTAAAACAAACCTCAGAAATGAAAATAACAGGCCTTTTTACATTAGAATAGATATATAAACCCAAAAGTACGAAAATCATGTCACAGGCACTTTAAAAAACCAAATTTTGAAAAAGGCAAAAAAACTTCATGATATGTTATGCCTATGATTTTATGGGGCATTCGTTATGCTAGCAAAACTTTGCTATCATTTTCTGGCCCCTCCACCTTTTTGCAAAATAGAGTTTTTTTTAAAAATTATTTTGTTTTGATTGTTAAAATCTCCCTTGCCCCCCCCCCACTTTCCAACTTGCGTCGGAGCCCATGATTTTGCTATCATTTTCTATAAAAAGTTTTGAATTCATTAGAATCGAATAAATTTCGAAGAATTTGATTTCTGGTTTGACATGGTTTTGTTTATTTTTGAGGGGAATGTTTTGGCGTAAAGTTATAAGTTTGCAAAACTTCAAATTTTTTGGATGCCATTTTGATTAGGGTGTTTATAGTGTGTTTTAAAATGTTTTTATTTTCAAATCCATTCTTTATCATTCTCAATTACACTAACACCATGCTAAAATGGTCTTGCAGTACCTTCTACGATGCAAACAGTGAGTGACCAAATTCACTCTTTTAAAGACAGTCCAAAAAGGGAGCAGGCTTGACAACGATATCATTGAGTACCCTTCGATATACTCTTTCAAACAAAACTTAATTCTTATATTAATCCTGTCTAGAGAAAATCGTCAAAGATGGCGCTTTTGAGAATGTTACATTGCTTATTACATTAATTAATTCAATCTTATTGGATTGAATCTAAAAAATCGTTCAGGGCCTCACCACCTCATATTTTGTCCGTATAGTTAATATAAAGCAGCTCTACCTCCATAAATGTTTTAAGAAACAATTAGCCATGCTTTCAAGAATGATCATTTCCTATCAGAGAAGAAAAATTACATTACGATTTCAGAAGGTTTAGCATTTTTGCTGACAAGTTTGGGACACCGGTGAAAAGGAACACAAAGGATCAGTATCTATCCATGGCATAAAATCTAAAAAAATTTTAAGTACCAACAGTGATTTAAGAGTTTAGGTACTTCTGTTCATCCACCTGTCTCTGATCTATAATTGTGGATGTACGTCATATTCATAGGCAATGTCTTGTTTAATGTATCTTAACTATCAACTCCTGATTAGTTGAGATGCCTCCACATCCTATAGAAAAGCTTGTGCTTTCAATGACTTTCAGTCTTAGTTGAGTTTAAGCATTTTCTGATTATCGATTTCAAATGTTTTACAGCTAACATGGTTTGTTAGATATCATATTTCAGAATTAGGAAAAAATAAATGAAGCTAAAAAAGAAATACATAGAAATATTAAAAAAACCCATTTTCCACATTGAAGAAGCAAAGTTTACATCTCCATCAACCTCCCGCCAAATCATGTTATAAGTCAATCATTGGCCATGAAATCGATACGATATCGATACGATTTCAGAGCGCTTAGTGTAATTTTATGTTTTTAAAGTTGGGGCTTCCGATTCAGTTTTTGCTAGCTTTCCAAAGTATTTTGGATGGGGATTATATTATGATTTCATACAGTTCTCTCACAACGTAAGTTCATGCTTCTCCTGGGTTAACAAGGCAGATCTCTTTACTCACGGATCCTTTGCATTAAACGTTCTATTAAAATTCATGATGGTTCTACGCATCTAGGTAAAGCCCAGCTGTCGATTTCTCTAGTGAACAAGCACTGAGTTATTCTCCTGTTTAACTGTGGATGAAAATTGGAAACACTGTCTTTTCGTGTGACACTTGATTCAGTATCATGAAAAAATTATCTTTAAATCTAATTCGGGTGCTTCCACTTATGTTAATTAACACAGGTTCCACAACACGAGTTATTTGCTTAGATTTTTTCAAAGAGGTTCCGGGCAAGCATTTAGATTTATATCAACATTTGAAGCTTTACGGTCATATGGCAGGTGAGCATTTTATAAGCCCTCTTGAAAGAGCCGACAACGTGGGACGTCATGACCTTTAAAGGCTGGAGATGAGGTTCAGGGAACTCAAATAATTCTGTACGCGTAGATGCTTGCATAGTATCGATGTAAGGGCATCTGCAATATTTTAGCAGTTGTTTATTGCAGAGTAATTTATACACTTCTTATGTTAATTTAACATGAATTGGCTTAATTATCATAAAGAAGTTTCTCACGACAAAATATCAACACATACAAGTTAATTTTATTTGGAATAAAAATTTCCACAAAGAACATTGCAACTCCACTTGTTTTCATATATACCCCTAAATTCTCTTAATTGCAAGTACCTTCCACTTTTTGGCAAGACAAGCATTTATTTCTCTTAACGAAATAGTTGTTCTTAATCTTCATCTATTATTGTATAAATGCACTACAAAAACTAACAATGAATAGCAGAAGCCCCGGTGCTGAGTCTTGTCGTGAAACCAAACGAAGAAATCATATAGCTGTATTGTGTGAGAGCCTTTGAGAGTGTTGAAAAAGAATCGACCGAGCAAGAATTTGTTAAATGGCGTCTGAGCCAAATGTAAAACCTGTAATTACCTTTGTTACAAGGGGACATTTCATGGATTGAAGTAACATAAGCTGAACGTTGACAAAAATACCTTAGACCAGCCACTTATCTAACACGACGGAGCTATTCAACGTTCAACATAATAAATGTTCTCTCGAGCATCTTTGCAAAAAGGAGTTGACAGCAGATCTGAATCATTATAGGCGTGGGCGTAGCAAATGAAAGCGTTTAGGGGGGTGGGGGGGGGGGGGGTTAGAATGGATCTTGCCCGACTATTATTGCTTCATATATACAGAATTTCAAATGGAGCCTAAAATGCGATAAGCGCTGCCTGGTTTGGAGGGGCTGCAACCCTTTGCTTACTATACAATATAAACTTACTATAGCATATTTTGTCCCTCAAGAAGTAGGCTATATGTAAATCTTTAGGCAATTAGGACTTAGTACTCCGTTTTGTTTATCATGTGCAACTTATGTTAGGCAGCAATAAAATGTGCTTTGGATTGTGTGATTTTGGATTGTGTGATTTTGGATTGTGTGGACTTTAACCAAAACGAGATTTTATCACGACTGCATTTTTTAAATAATGATAGTTTCTTTTGAGTATCTTGAGAAATCCAGATTAGCTATAGGCTATTGTTTAGCTAGAAAGTCTTTTCATAGAAAGAATATCATAAATTCACTGAATCTGACTTTTGTAGAAACAATTACCTGATGGGATAGCTTTTATCAATGATCAGAATAAATTTCCGTATAATTAAGCTATATGTTTTGTCCAACGTTAAAAAAATTAAAGAAGATTAAAGTGTTGCCACTCTTCCATCGTATAATCCAAATTTTCTGTAAGGTAATTCTATCGATATACTTAATTGTAAGAAGAGATCATTTTTTTAAAACAACATTAACAACGGGAATTGTTCATTAGAAACAATACATTTTTATAATTATAGGAGAGGCTATCACCCCCCCCTCTCACCCTAACCCCCTTATACCATAAATCAAAAAGTAGCTACGGCTTTGACTTTAACCATTGAATAAAAACAAATATAATAGATATTCATCTGAAAAGACCAGAAGTCTGAATAAAGTTGCGTACTTTCTTTTCAAGTTGTAAGTGTTACTGCCATATGAGACAAGGAGGGTGAGTCGAAATGACCCCTTCAATTGTGGCTTTATCACTCTTTCTGAAAATAGCCTGCGCGCAGACTTGACTGGTTTTCCCAAAGACGAGTTTAGTTAAAAGTTTATGGAGTCCTCCTGGGGCTACCTGAATATAGTTTTCATCATTTGTTAGACTTGAAAAACATTGTAGTCACTACATCTAAATGAAATTCTCACCAAAAAAGAAATTTCTAAATCTGCCGATGGAAATCCTGTATTATCTGACCTCGGGAGGCTCTACCTCACATGATGTGTTATTATAGAGAAACAATACTCCAGTATCTGGATTATATAATTAATAAGCTATGAACAATGCTGACATGTTGGCATTGTTAACATGAAAGCTGATCGCGAATTCAAAAATACATTTAGAAGATTTTAAGCTATTTCACAACATTGAAAAGCTAATTCGTTACGATTTAGACCACGTACGGCCTACCCTGGGTACCAGAGTCTCCATAATTTAGTCTCAGATATATGTATAGTTAGAAACTATTCACAGAAAAAATTTTGAGCAAGGATTGGCAAAAGAGGCCACTTTCCTTCCCTTCATCCGCATCCACTCATTCTTTGCCACTGCAGTTGTCCACAATACTTTATCCCCGGATTTATGAGGCTCTGGTACCCTGGGTACGTATGACTAATACGGGCTGGGTTCCAGATCCCTAGCTTTCAAGGACTATGAAAAGGTTCCTGGGTTGAAAAATAGACACTGCTTTGAAAAGACAATTGTTTATGTTACTGATTGATTGTGGCAAGGAAGCTACAACTTAAGTCTAAGAGGACAGGAGATTCTCTTCTGACACGGCCTTCAAAACCCCTGAAAACTTGAGAAGTGCCATTCTATGAATCTACTAGATAGTTTAATGGCAACACTTGGTAGGTCTTTTACATTACCTGTTTGTATATCATTTCATCTAAAGCTAAATTTTATCTTCAAATTACTGCTATTGACAAGCTACCTTTCACCAAAGGCTGATAACTTAAAGCTAAGTATTTAGGGAGACTTTAATCCGATAGTTGAACCAGCCCGAGAGCCAACTGATTTATGCGCAGCCAAGACATAAGAAGTTAATTCATAAGTGTAGGAAGCAAAACTGCAGATGAGCATAACTTACATCTCGGTAATCTTAGACCTCGGTAATCTCGTTAATCGTTTGCAAATCCTGACTTTATAGCCCCAATCTTCTCGTTTGAGAGGTCAATGCATGCCACAGAATGTAGTGTTTACATAAATTAGCATAAATTATCATATCAATTATAAATTTAGATGTATAAAGGAGATGCTAGTATCAGAGCCTGAGGCCCACGAGCTTATGAATTAGGCTCCTTATAATAGATTCTATAGCATGTCATATAGCGACATAATGGAATGAAACGCTTAACCTTAGGTGCTTGCAATCAGAAAGGAAGGATGTTTCTGACCTTTTGTAAAAAGAAGCTTGCAAGCAAAGTATTTACTTTGGTAAGTCTTTCCGGGAAATTTCAATCAAATTTTCTTTATACCTATAAAGCATATGTCAATATAGTTCGATCATCTCATTTTTAATGATAATTCGAGTGATTGACTTAACAATCTATCACCAAAGATTGTAAATTGGTTCTTGGATTTTCGCTTTCCAATAAAAAACAAAGATCTCAGAATAGTTTGCAGAGGGAATAGTTTAAATAAATCTTGATATATCCATTGGGAATTATCACTAAAAGCATTATGATTGGGAATTGTCGTGTTGCAAGCAGGCATGAAACTCTTGAATAGAGATTTCGAAGCGATTTTCAAAATGGGCAGGGGGAAAGTGAAAGTGAAAAATTGCAGACTCAAAATGAAAGATTTCGTAACTATGATTTTGGCTGATTTTAATCTAAAGATTCCAATTCTTTGATCCATTTTTGAGAACTTTTGAGATAAAATTTGACCGGAACAGAAATCATAGCGATTTCGGTTTTACGAGAAGGCTCAATAAAAATGGTAGCCTGTGCCCCAGACCTCCAACCTGAATGGATGCTATGTTGAAGTGCATTTATGGAGTTTGGCTGTTCCATGCAGTTGCCATCTTTATCCAAAGTCTTCTCTGGATTTTCTTGTTGCATTTTTTAAATGACGATAAATGGTCTTTGAATGACGATTTTTAAATGGAACAGAAAGCGGAAAATTTGTATTTACTTTCTATCAACAGGAAAAGTAGATCTAGATTGTCCCTCTAGTTCTTAGAGTTTCCTCATTGATGTACACAGAACATACTAGAAGAAGTATATCGATATTCATCACGAGTTTAGTGTCGACAAACCCTTCCTTAATTGAATTCTACCTAATAAATTTTACTAGAAAAGACTTTATAAATATAAAAATAATATTGATTAATGGTAAGTATATTGAATGACATAAAGAAAGACACGCCGAATAAGCACAACAATGCTATAAACACAAATATGCTCTATTGGCACTTGGAAATCTACTGCTAACCTCATAAAGTGGAGTTACAACTGCCAGCTTTCGAGACTAAAATATTTTAAATGAATATTGAAGCTATGGGCGTACCTCCCGACTTATAAACCCAATTTAGTTGAAGACTGGCTGAGAAAAGACAGGGGGCAGCCCACCCTGCACCACCAAGCTGAGAGGGGCCACTAAAAGTAAGGAAAGATTTCATGTGCCAACTTTAACGTACTGTTTGCTTTGAATAAAGAGGAATTTGAATAGTTTCTTGATTAAATAGTTGAATGTGAAAGAAATGAAACTGCATAATTGAACACTAATGACAAAACATGACATTTTTATCGTTTCATTTAGAAGAACTGACGGGAATGGGTTTGTGGGATTGACCCCTTTTTTGATTTACTGCTGTCTAGAGTGAGTTTGAATAGTCAGTAAGCCTACAGATATTGTTAGAACGTAATGTGTTCTGCTTTTCTCCGTTCTGGGTTGATGTAATCGATTTTCCATTTCGCTATCTGCAGACCTTTCTCAACAATGGTCTTTAGATCTTAAATCGCCATCTTAAAATGAATTTTTTCTTAAAACTTCATGTCGTTTGGGTTGTTCGGTCGTGAGCCACTACATTTTGAATATAAATTTCTGCTGTTGTGAAAACATTTCACAACAGCAACGAATTCCAGTGAAATGGAAAGGAAAAGCTAAATTTTGATATGAGAATAAGTTGATTTACTGTCTGAAAGTCTCAAAGACATCAAATTTTCGGCACAGGCTGCTTTTGATATGCAATCCATATTTTGAAAAATTTGAAGATAAAAATTAGCAATTTCGGGAACAGTAGCAATTTCGGTTTTACGAGAAGGCACAATAACTTAAATCTGAGTTCGCTGAGTCTCCTCCTTTTAGACTTCAACTCAAAAAAGTTGTTGAAGAATATGCCGGGGGATCAACAAGTTTTCATCCAAGAGAGTGTAATTCTCAGATATCTCATTCAATCTTTGCCGCTGTATTTGTCACTATAATAGCGCTGGCTGCAAAACTTTTGTTTAAATTGTCCAAGAATCAAAAGGAGGAATTCTAATTAAGTCAAAGAGAAATACGATCAAACGCTTTTTTCTCGTTGATTCTCTCATTTATAGGTAATTAAGATTACAATTTGTATGAATAAATTATGAGGCAATCAATTTTTTTTATCCAGCCCTGGAGAATAAGGAATTGTTACCATGGGCTACGAACTACCAGTTCTCTTGTGTTTTTTTAAAAGCTAGGCCAAATACATAATAGTCTCTGTTTTTTAGAAATTTGCTATTATCCATAACGCTTTGTGTAGAAATTTGGCAATTTAGGACTTGTGGCTTTGAGTAATTGTCAGCATACGCTCCACAAATACAAAGTTAACCAATGAAGTCACAAAAACATAATTTTCATCTCAAAATTTCGTATCAATTTTTTCAAGTTAATTGAGGGGTTAAACTTTTGTAGACAGTTCAGTTCTTGGAAAAGAAGCTACATCTTTGCGCCAGGCTATGAATCATTCTTGAAGACTGCCAAGTTGAAGCATAAATTCATGAAGAATTTGTTTCCATTTTAGATTTCACTGCTTCTGACGGACTCTAGAATTTTTTTATTTTGAATATAATCTTTTTGCACCGCTAAGTTAAAATCTGAGTCAAATTTGTTGATAAAATGGGAATTTGAAAACACGCGAGTGAATTTGGTAGCCTTTGGAGTTTTTTGTGAGACCGATTTAGCAATATTGTTGTACGGCTTATTGCCTATTGTTAAAATTGATCCTTTGTTGTGAATGCGCAAGAGCGGCGAGTAGAGTTTAGAAACAGTAGACTCTGAATGCCCTGTGGTCAGTGGTAGTTGCCAGGGAAAAATTCTCGCCGCTTTATTTCGCAAAATTGAAGTCGAGTTTAGCAGTTAATTATTTATGTTTTGGAAGAATCATCTTGCGGTATGCGAGCTGCTAATTGCCATGGCACAGACCCTATCATGAACTGTTATAAAGCGTTGGAACCGTTTCGCTTAGCACAGAAGAATCGGAATTGAGCAAGGCCATCTACTTGCTTTTGTTGCTGTTGGGTTTCTATGCTGCTGATACGGGGGTTGGCACCTGCTACTGAAATTCATTTGAAACAATATGGAGGTGAATTATTTTTAAAGACAAATACTGGCTTGTTTGCAGAAGACTTTGACTTATATGACAGATCAAGGCGAAGAAAATCATGTTATTTCAGGATCGTAGTAGGACATCTGTTCAGATTAATAATGTTCAACTTATGTAAACGAGAAATTTAATGGTGATTACAGGCTGAATATCTCGTCATGAAAGCTAGAAGATCATGTCTCAAGGTTTTTGTAGCATTTGCAGTATTTGCATCCACTCTATCATTCTCGGTTGCAGCCTTGGTTATATACAAACCGGTAGATCCCGAAATCTCATGGCAGGAAAGCTCTCGGTCGTTACAGCGAAAGCTGCTTGTGACTAATAACTCGAATGACCATGGAGAATATCCTGAAGATATATTTAGCGACACGGAACTCAAGAAAGGGGCTGTTGTCTTGCATATCATAGGGATCTGTTACATGTTTCTTGGCCTTGCGATTGTATGCGACGAGTTTTTCGTCCCAGCTTTGCATGTCATATCAGATATACTATCAATTTCAGATGATGTTGCTGGGGCCACGTTTATGGCAGCGGGGGGAAGTGCCCCAGAACTGTTCACCTCGATTCTAGGATTATTCGTCGCAAAAACCAACATAGGGTTTGGAACCATAGTTGGGAGTGCAGTTTTTAACGTTTTGTTTGTAATTGGGATGTGCGTTGTCTTCAGCAGAACAGTCCTGCACCTCACTTGGTGGCCATTGACGCGAGATAGTATGTTCTATTCATGCGCCCTTGGGCTACTGATATACTTCTTTGAGGATTCAATAATCTCATGGTGGGAATCCTTAACTCTCTTATGCGTTTATATACTTTATGTGATTTTCATGTACTTCAATGCAAGAGTTGAATCGAAGGTTAAACGTGCTATTGCCGTCTTCAAAGGGACAGAAGGAAAAGTCGCTCCTCAAGTAAGTATTGCTAATAAACCTTAATCCTATTGTTGAACTTCTTTCGAAAACGTGTCATATTAATCACCTAGATTGTTGGTATTCACCAGGGGCGGATCTAGAAATTATTCTGAGGGGTGCTAAAACGTAAAGCTTGGTAACCAAGGGTGTTGCTATGCACAAACTCCGTACCCCCTGCTAATAAGCCATAATGAAATGAAAGTCTTCCATAAACTAAAAAGCCTGGATGCCGCGATTGATATAGTAATTTTTGCTACACTTTGATCAGAACTTGGAACTTTGGCTTCAGCTTTTATGCCAAACGCAATTTGCAGCTCTCCCCCTCATATTCACTTAGGGTACAAAAGTATAGAAACTGTAGTCAAATATGATATCATTGCCCGCAGTGGCAAAAGGCCCGAGCCCACAAATTTCCAAAGCAAAGTTTAATTTTTGACTCTTTGCAGCCATTTATTAGAACTTGATCATGGCTGGTGGAATGAAGCCCTTGAACATGAAGTGCAGTGCACGTCATTAGAGACAATAGAACAATAGAAAAAAGTCGGACAAAAGTTGAACACAGGGATTCAAACACAGCATGCATGGCATGCATTGACATTTGATACCAAACCAAACAAATGAGGCCCTGAACGTTTCGCTATGGGCCTGCCGTTTTGAGTATTTTTATGAATTTGAAATCTTTAGAGAAAAAAGTATTCGTAGGAATGTAAGCAGGAATAAGAAGAAAACCCCTTTTGGTCAAGAATACTATGGGCAAGTTTTTGAGATGTTTTGTATGTAGTTCTTGAATGATTAACAAAAGAATAACAAGGGCTCGGGCAAGCTTTATCCTCTGAATATAAATCATACCTCATGGTCTATGAATAAGACGTGAAACACGGAGTTGAAACTTGAAACCGTTCTGTTATATAAACCAAAGCGTTTACAAGTTCTGCCGTTACAGCATCGAGCACCAGGTAAAGATCGTCAAAAGACCTACGAAATTGCAAATTTGCACTTCACCTAAGCATTCGTCGCGTGCTGTATCATAATTCAACTCCCCCTGGTCAACCTCAACTCCCCCTGTTCAAGCTTAACTCCCCCTGGTCATAAAACCACTATACATTTGACTGTAGATTGAAGCGAAGAAACTCCCCCTGGTTTGGTCGGTATTCTTTGATGTTTTGGATTTTGAAATCCATGGGTTCTCGCGCCAAAGTTTAGAACCCCTTGACCTGGCACCGTGATTGGCTAGATTCACTTCCACGGGTGCAGAAAATCGTATAATTTACAGGCCACGGGTTCCTCAAGTGGCTGGTTATAAGAGGAGACAATGCTTTCCGAGTCTGTAGAATGCTATACAGTACAACCAGGGGGAGTTTGATAACACTTCAATGCATGGACTGAAATAACAATGTTGAACAGTTGTGAGACGGGGCATTGAAGCGGATATAACAATTTCAGGAGATGTGCATACTTCTCGGTAAAAGAGATAATAAATGGTTTAAATAATTATAAACAAAATTGCGATAGAATAAGCTTTAATCCCCAAAAAGTTTTTCCTCAAATCTGAGGGGTGCTCGAGCCCCTTTCGCACCCCTCTGGATCCGCCCCTGTTCACAATCCGTTTATAATGACTGCACTTCGAAATGTTGGTATGAGAAAACAGAGAGAAAACTGACCTCTGTTTTACCTCAGTAAGCAATTTCTCCATTCTCCTAAGCAATTTCTTCCTTCCCATTATAAGTCGGTCTGTTTCGATGCGTCACTATTGCGTGCTTCAGTATACCCCTGGCGGATGCAACCCTGAATGAGTCAGGTAGATCCCATGCTTTACGTTTTCTGCATTCACATTATTGCGTGCGAATTGGTGTTGAACATTCACAAATTCAGTTTTTGATAAATCAGCTTCCAATGCAAGAAAATAATGCAAAAATTAACATCCTAAACAAAAATTACCATAATAGTTAATGCTCAAAACATAGGTTAGCAGCATTCGTTCATCTCTGCTTCCAAAAGGTCCCTAGATTCCAGGCTCCTAGTGATCCTGCCGATACCAAGTCGATACCTTATATCGATTCCAAGAAGCCAATAGTTTGTATGTTGTTCTCGAATACCAATCACCAGAGACCAGAAGAATTTCAATCTATCTTACACCCAAGACAATTTTGAGAAAACAGCCTGAACGAGAAGATGGGTCTAATTTTTGGCCTAAACCTGGAGTAATTGTTATACGCAGGCTTCACTATGAGCGACCTTCCTCTACGATTTCAGATGTGAAACGTCGAAATTCCGGGATTCAGCTCTTCACTCTGATAGAAATTATATCCATTTTCATAAGAAAATAAAAAAAGACCGTAATTATATATGAATGAAAAAAAAAATTTTATTTCCTTGACTTCCAAAACACTAGAGAGGCTTTCCTACTACCGCGCTGGATTGACGATCCGACCATAGGTCACAGAACATGAAACTTGGGATTTCTGCACATTAATAGCTTATAGAATGGATTCGATTAGTAGGGAATTAGATGACGTCAGGAAAACCTATTCAGTGGTAAAAGATGGGGGCGTTTTGTCTGAAACTACATCGATTTATAACAGAATAACAGCTTTTCTAAGCTTTCTTTGTACTTGCAGAGCTGTGGTTCAATCAAAATCGTACGAAAACTGATTGCTCCATGACATGAGTCTGTAGCAAAAAAGTCTAGACACCAAGTCAAAAACACCAGTTTTCTCCATGGTTCACTGCGATGAGGATTAGGCCATTTTGCCATCTCTAGCTTTAGTCTTGCTCCAAGGCCTACCGAAGTAGCCAGGGGCTCTGAGAGTCCTTCAGTTGGTACCAAAAACTCTGCAAATATCTGCAAATATCTATGCTCTATAACTCTTTGATTAATTGATGGGCTAGGTGAATTAAAAATGTCAAGCAATCTATATTGCGTCGTATGATGCTGTTTTTTAGAGAAGGAATCCTAGAGCCTCTTAGCCCAAACGGAGAACCAAAAGAGGCACCTTTCTTGAGGTCGCGTGTTACTTTAGTTCAAGTCTTGCCCTTAGAGATCACACAAAAAGCGATCACTGCTGACTAATATATCTTGGCAATAGGACCTCTCCTAGTTGTGATAGATATGTGGTTTTGCAGTGAGAAAGAGAAAGAGTCCTTTCGGAGAGAAACAGGATTTGCCCTAAAAAGGGTCCTTGTGATATACACCGTGGCTCGCTCAAATCTGTCTAATAGGGGTCTTACACTGTCACTGCCTTCACAGTTCATTACAACTTGGAGCTTGCAAACATCCACTCATACAGTGGGGGTTAGTTTAGAATCTTACTTTGTTTTAGCATGTTTCCAAAAATGTGCATTTTTGAGATACGTTTTTCTTTCACACTTATTGGTGGAAAATTTAACTTATTCATTAGTGGAAAATGAAGGTGCAATGGTGATTTCCTGGTCACTTTTTTTTCTACCAACAATGTCACTATTGTTGAGATATTTAATTGGACTGCATGTGGTATATTGTCCTTCTGGCAGGTCATTCGCAGTCCCAATTAACTTCTCTGAACAGAACCAGCAAAAATCTTACAAAATATTTTAAATCAAAGACAAAGTAGCTTCAAAATTAATTCCATGTCAATACAAATGCAGCGATCAGTCACTCAAAGTCTAGTCTTATGCAGCAATAACTTTTTTGTGCAGTTTTCAGGTTCACATAAATCTATGATGTGATAATATCTGTCTGCCTCCCTATAACATTTCTGGGCGAATTTCCGTTCCTGACAATGTCAATTTATCCTTCACTGTGTTACCGATTTTCGATGAATAACTCATTCTTATCATACTTTGGAGATCAGTGAATATTTTGAATGATTCCATAGAAATTACAGAGAAGCGAGTTAAATGTGCGTGGTCTAGGGTTTGGCTTTTAAAAGTTGCCTTAAGCACAGCCCCTCATCCTAGCTTTTTAAGACAGCACCGCTGGCTCATCATAAGATTTCCGAGAGACCCAATGATGTAGTCATTCATTTTTTGTTTACAAAACCAGTCACTATGCATTTCATTATCGTGCGATGATAATGTAACCGGATAAAAAATGTACAGCGATAACAATATCATATTACAAATCCTGAACAATTCGTTCGCACCACTTTCTAAATTTGCCTTAAAACTTGTTCGTCCTTTCATTTTATATTTTTTTCTATAGTATCTTGCCTTTCCATAGGCGTACATTTTACCAATGTAATTGTGTTAAAACACCTCTTCGGTATTCTTGTTACAGAGGGGCTCTTTCATAGAAACATGAAGAATAATACATCGTCAGCCAACTTTCAGTGTATTTGGCGTAAGGTTGCCTATGTCTATGCAAAATTTTGACGTCACATGGTTTAAAAAATTGTTTTGCCAGTTTTCAAATAGTTATTCGGGTCATAATGAAATCATTCTTTAGAAGAAAAATATTTTTATGCAAAGAGTTTTTGTGAAAATCCGATTTTAGCCATCACAATTCGTTTAAAGCATTCGGTATTTGGCAACAAAACATTGTACGAACACTAGAAAAAGTGCAAAAAGACGTGTTTGCGTGGGCAATACACCATAAACGTGTTCAATGATTTGACTTTGAAGATAGTTGGAGGTCAGACATTGAGCCAACCTTTCTCTACCTGTGTGCGTGTATACCTATCAAAGTTAACGAAATTGTCTCTTGCATGATATCACAGTGCGCTATATAGCCTTTTAATAAAAGCTAATGCAGCATTGCTGTTTTGTGTCTTTTCTATTCAGTTATGAAATTCGTAGACGGCAGCCAGGTCATCGAGCATCTGACTGTTGCTGCAATCTTAAAAACCATCTTGTCTTCAATAGAATAGGCCACTTGTTTTGCTTCTCAGTAAAATGTTTTTTTCATTTTCTTAGCTTGATTTTCGGGTACGATTCAAAAGTTCTTTTCAGTTGCAACACTTTGCAGGTCAAATAAATTTTTGACAAAGTTAATAGAATGGCCTCACGTTGACCAGGGCATCAATGACGATCTATTTGAAAGAATAGGATGTAAATCCAATGTTTGGTATATTCGTTCTGTCTTGAACTCAGACAACTAGTATAGAATACCAATAGATTTCAAAACTTCGTGATGTGAAAGCTTCCCAATGGGTGGGCTTTGCAGACTACACAGAGTCATATGTAAGCCAATGCATTGCTAACAGCGAACCCAAGCAACCTCGAATCGATGTTTTAAGCCGTATCTCGCTTGCACTTTAACCGTACCTCTCTTTTCTGTGGCAATACATCTGTTCATTTAAAGTGACGCAGCACGAATAATTAAAGCAGAGGCCAGCTGATGCGTAATTAAGGGTTTTATGGGTGGATTTTGGTTTCTTAGCTTAATGTAGAAGGTGGCAGCATTTCGGATCAAAGAAAGGCAACAGTATTTCTTTAAATACGGCACAACAAAAGCACTTTAAAACCATTCTCAAAACAGGTCAGCAACAGACCAAATTGATTTCGTAATATAAGTAGCTTCCATTCCCACAAATTTTGTATTGCCCATGCTTGCGCCTTCTTTAGTTATGGCAATACAATAACCATAATTTTCGATGTTAGTCGGATTATAGCATAAACAATTACAATTATCAAGTATTTAGCAATGAATAAACCTCTCTCCACACCCCACACAGGCACAGATGCTTTCCAAAAATATGGATAGATGTATTGCGCAGGAAAAAGGAAGTCATAGGTAGAAGGGTGTAGCGCTAAAATTATGCAAAAATGTGACGTTTCTGAGAAATAGGCATATTCTTTAAGATTTGATGGGACTTGCATCGATCTACCTTTCCACCGTCTTACTATGGCAGCTGGCACCGCCACAAGCCAGTGATTGTCGTTAAGTCGATGTATTTGCCTATTCTTGCTAATCTTACAAAGAAATACAAACGATGTTGAAATGAAAACAGTTAATGATGCATAAAAGGAAAAGAATCGAATCAAGAGAAAAACCCGAACAGTTGAAAATCTGCCTATCCTTTCATGGGCACTTAACCTTGCCTTGTTGAATTGCATGTACATTGTCGCTAAAATCTGTGGTCACTATTTAAAATTACCGCAGATTTTGATTACTTGGGATCTGAAACAAAAAAGTCGTCTCTTGAGGTTCTTGTTTATTTTTAATGCACTGGTATCGAAAAATGCATTTTAAGCATTAGTTTTCACCATTTTTCGATAAAAAGATGACGTAGTTTTATCGCAGCTGGATTTTTTATGGCATTTTACGTGAATGCGGATTTGAGCTGATAGGAATTTCGACAGAAATCGGTTTCAAACTGATAAAATTAACTGCTTCTACGTTGCCGCTGCAACCCTTTTGAACGAAAGCTGACATTCCTCTCCTTTAAAGACATTTTACCAGACTTGATGCATTGCATACCAAACTTTGGTATGCATAGACTTCCATTGCATTAGCCGACCTGTCTCAGTTCTCAGGCGATCAGCACAAAAGAGTTCTTCTTTCAATAGCCCTCAAAAGTGTAGAATATGGAATAGACATACATTTTTGTCGAGTTAGCTGTAACTCTTCTTCAACCAAGTCGACCAAATCCCGCTACTAAGATAAGGGGAAATCTGCATAAAAGCTGAGTCTAAATCTATATTGTGAATTCATCTGGAAATCGTGACACTTTTGAGAAAGTGTTAAAAAACTTCATAAACGGACACCTCTTAATATCGGACACCTCTTAATATCGGACCCCTCTTAATATCAGACACCTCTTAATATCGGACCCCTCTTAATATCAGACACCTCTTAATATCGGACTCCTATTAATATCGGACACCCCTTAATATCGGACTCCTATTAATATCGGACACCTCTTAATATCGGACTCCTATTAATATCGGACACCTCTTAATATCGGACTCCTATTCATATCGGACACCTCTTAATATTAGACACCTCTTAATACCGCCACCACTTAATATTAGACACTTCTTAATTTCGGACACCTCCCAATAACTGACTCCTAGAAAATTTGAAAAATATCGTTCATGCTGTCTTACTTAGCATTGTACTTTCATGACAAGCGAACCTTTTTGTATTTGTGAAAATGATATCATAATAAAGCCATACTTCCATTGCATGGACTGCTAATAGATTTGATGACCAGAACTGTGGGATTGAAACAGGCTTTTCTGCTCATGTTAAGTTTTGTTCCCTTGGAAACCAAAGGAAGTTTACAGTTCAGGAGCTTTTAAAGTCATTCAAGGATTCACTGGTGATTTTGTAAAGACAAACCAAATGAAGATTTTGAATTTCACGTGAACTTTTTCTTGACAATATCTGGTGCCTTTATAATTACAATTTCGTAAACACAAAAAGACTTGCAGCGTTTAAATTCATAAGACAAATTAATGCTAGGCATAACACCTTTGCCTTCTGTTATTCGATTGCTCCCATTGTTTATACGGACCTGTCTATTGTAAAGAACAGAAATCTCCTGTCTTGAGTTTGATTAAATGTTGGAAATAAGAACGCGCAAATGTTTACCTAAGCTCGTTTGCCAAACTAACGTGACAAATGAAAGCCATTTCACCAAAAGTAAACATTAATCGAATACAACAATGATCCTATTTGAACATAGCACAGTTTCTTTAGAGTACATTTAGGCCATGAAAACATAGCCGTGTCTTTTGTTGCCAAGCACTCGAATGGCTGTTGTTGCTAAGTAACGTTTTTGCATCGTGTCCAAACTCTACGTTTGTTATTATTGATTCCCTGAATTGTTGCACCTTGAACAGCGGGATTCAATGCCGAGTCATTCATAAATTCAATATATGATTGAATTGAAATAAGACACTTTTATTGAGCGCATTCTAAGTAAGCAAGCAAGCAAGATTTATTTGTAAACGTAGGTTAGAGTTCGGCCAGTTAATGTGAACCTGCGGCTTGTAGTTGATGTGGATCTATTGATTTCCTGTTGCAAAATATTATTTTTGGGCTTCTTTAAGAAATGACTCAGTTACGCAACGGAAGAAAATTTAGTGATGCATACAGATTGTTTCGAAAAAACTCAATTCAACAGGAAGGGCCTCTACAAAGATAAGTTATTGTGTGCTTTGTTCACCAAATACAACAGCAAGGTCATCTTTCATTTAAAAAAAGATTCATATGAATACAAACCAGAAACAGTTGGTTGTCTTACTTTAATTTGTCACCCAATAAGGAGTTTGTGGTCGCTGATTGGTCAAGAGAAAGAGCCAATCAAATGCGCTAGAAAATATTTGACAGGGTATTAAATTTAAAAAATGCATCTTGTTTGAAAACTGGTCATTAAAATGAATTTACACTACGAAAGAAAAATTAGTGAAACAAATTGAAATAAATACTATATTTTTATCACCAGCAATAATTTATATGAATAAATTGAAGCAAAATGATATGGGATATAAGGGAAAATTGTAGATGTTCTTTACATTATTCCACGATTTACAACTATGAATTTCCCAATTTTTAGAATGTGGGTAAAAACTGCCTTATTGTGATTTGAATGTCTCTCCACGTTTTTGTTCAACCTTTTTTTCATTCAGTTATTTGTATGTTGTTTGTGAGTTTCTTTATCGCTTTTTTGTAGAATGGCAATGAGCATCATTATCAAAACTGCACCCTTCAGCTTGTCATCCATACGCTGGATCCGATTTCAGAAGGTTTGTAATAGTTTCATTGTCTAAAGAATCGCTTTTTCTATAGAAAGTATATCAATTCGATTGGTTTGCATTGTGTCATTTGTTGCAATGGTTTCTTGCAAATGTATCTTAGCAGGAAGATCTAAAGAGATTTAATCCCTCAAATATCTGGCAAATTCAAGAGAAACTTTGAGCTTTCAACTCAGTTTGTCGCTGTTTTTTATCGATGACCGTGTCAAGATATTTTCGCTTTAGGTTAATTGACTGATTGCTTTGATGATCTCTCTTCAGGGAACTTTTGTCATAATGGTGTCATTAATTGCGCGGGTTTTCGCTAGGGATGCGCGACCGCAACAGGGCAACTTCAAGTGAAAACCGGTCTTTAATGCACTGGTGCAAAGCCATAGGCCGTGAGTTCGAAACAGCGGGTGTCATGGATTCGAGTGGGTTTCTACGAAAACTTGCTTTGCGGTGAACCTTATATCATTCTCTTAGCGACTAGACCGAAACCTGCAATCACCTTGACCTTATTCGCATCTGTATACTATCTAATGAATGTTGCATAACATATTCTCGTTGTGCTTGCCAAAAGTTTCTTGATTTTGGCATCCGAAAGTATAAATGCAGCCTATCAGGCCCAGTCACACCTTGCCTACTTGCAGCAAATATTTTTCAAAATAGAAAGCTTTTTGTTAATGACAGGATAAAGTACTCTTCAGAGGCTTTGCCAAAGTAAGGAAAGAGGATCGTTGCCCAGGCACTTTTCAATAAGATATTTTACTATAAATCGATACCTAGACTTTTTGTACTCTATGCACCAGCCTGCCCCTCTTCTACTTTGAAGTTCAAAGCATGCTGATTGCTTTTTATACTTCTTCTTGTTAACATTTTTAACTGAAGCAGGGCTTGTTCATGCAGTAGAACGGAAGAAGCGCGTCAAGCTCTATATTTCTACAATTTGTAGCATAAAAATCATAATACAGACTCTGAAATCCTCAACCAAAGAAAAAGGATCTGCTTTCTTTATTCCATCCAACGCAGTTTATTCCTTTCTCTTCCCTGATCTCACCACTGCCCTCTCTTCAAATAAGTAACTGACAATCATTTCGAAACTCATTTGGTGTTCTCTACCTGTACCTTGCTTAGTCACTTATGATCTTTATTCTTTCAACAAGATATCAAGGTAAATGTTCTGATTTTGCTCAATATAACCAAATGCTAACAACTGAAATATTTTAGAATAAGCAACAAGAATATATGCAACTTAAATATTTACAGATCCAGTTGATAAAACATTTACTGTTTTGGATGGTTACCGCGTATGAATAAATATCCAAGGAAATTATTATGCATGTTTTTGAAAGCATTTGTTTATAACCAAAACTAAAAATTAGATACCTGACACAGGTACTAAAGCGAACGGGGCTAACACACTTGGGGACTATGATAATGCAGAAACGGTTGAGATGGTTGGGGCATGTCAAAAGGATGAACGATAGCCGTATTCTCAAGACATTTCTATTCAATGAAGCTCGTGATGGCTCTAGGAAACAAGGACGCCTGTTGTTGAGATATCATGATAATTGCGAAAGTGACATGAAATCATTTGATATGAATGTAGATAACTGGGAGGTGTGTGCAACACAACGTTCTTCCTGGAGAGAAAATGTGACCATGGGAGCAAGGAGATATGAACAAGCCCTGATACAAAAAAAGGAGGAGAGTAGAAAATGAAGAAAGCAGCCATTAACAAACTTGGATGCAAACGATGATGCATATATTTGTGAACACTGCAACAAGCGCTGCTGTTCAAGAATTGGATTGTTTAGTCACACCCAGACTTATCAGGACTAAGACTTTACTTAATGCGTACACCATGATCTTTAAGATTGAAGGTTGCCTACTGGAAAAGCACTACCACTGCTATTCCATAATAAAATACTTATTGTTTGTATCGGTGTGTCTGATGATGTCATTTTCTTCTTCAATGGCCTAAATTCCTTCTTCTAAATTCTTTTAACAGAAAAATAAGAAATCGCAATTATACTTTGATGCATTAAAAGGCATTGCCGTTTCAAAGCCTTCAAACTGCTTTTGTCAAAGCATCAAGATTTTGTCAAAGCATCAACTTTTGAGAACTGCTCAAATTTGCCAAAATACACCAAATTGTTAAGCACAACTGAGCTGAAATTATCAATATCTGCAAGAGTGTAATCTAAAGCCAAGAATTGTGAAAAAAGTGTAATCTGAAAGAGTGTAATCAAAAGTGTAGTCGATTTTCGCCGCACAGATGCGCTTGTCGGTATGATATTGTGTCTCAGTTTATAGAATTAGCTGAAATTTGCAATGTGATTGTCCCACTGATTAGAAAACACTATTGCTGGTATCGGCGGCATCAGAAACGAGCGCTTTTTTATTAATTGAAAACAAGCAGCTCGTATCACCGATGATCATAATCCAAATGAATAAAATTGAAAAACTCTTGCGTATAAACAAATCATTCTTGCTTACACTAAGCCCTGCTTTGCAATACAACGTCGAGCATAGCAGGTTGAATTCATACGAAAATAAATCCAACATCATCCCTGCCTATTGTGTTTTGTTTCTGTTGCTAGGGCTAAACTAATCCTCATTGTATAGCAATAAAAAAGGGGGTTTCTTGGCATTTCTCGGGATATATTAGCTGTCGGTAAGAGGGTATTGGTTAGCAAGTTAGGAAAGTTTATCCGAGGGTTTTGGCAGACGCCAATACACAATGTAGAGGGTATAATCTTGCTGGATTAAGAATATATTGTTTTGTGCTTTCTAGGGCCCAGGCCTGGAAAACAATGTGCCACTGGGGAAAAGAAGCATTTCCCTTACATTTGTGCCACAAATATTTATTGTTCGTTGTTCGTTGTTCTCTGAATTTGAATCCAATCCACAAATACTTGTAACTTTCCCAAAATGACAGTATCCAACAATTAATCATACGGAACACAGACTTGTCATGCACGCATTTCACTGTCATGTTGCTATACCTTGCTAGATGTAATATAGAAATTTATATTAGATATCGAGAAGTATATCAGTCTATAGGGGGTTTGACACCTCCCAGTTTTGCACGAGTTGGAAGGCAAAATATTCACCTGGTCAGTAAGATCGGCACTGAATGGGAAAAAATTGTCTTCATCTATTTTGTCGTTTAATTTTCGTTTTCATAACCCTCCAGCCCCCTTTCCTTAATCTTGATGATCAATGTAGTCCACAGAAGTAACCAGAATGTTTTTCTGGCAATCTCTCTTCTGCTCCTGTTTTCTATATTTAAGAGGACTTTGATATCTGCCTAGTATTTTTTGTGTTGAGCATACGAATGTTAAATCTAAACATTATTTTGATTGACGATTTTCATTTTATTTTGCTTACAGCTACAGCGGAAAGTAAACTTCATCGCCTGAAGGAGATTCTTCAAACTGAAGTCCTTCGTGACAGTAGCAAAGATATGCTGAAGAAAGACAAATATAAGTACGGGAGAGAGGGAAGCAAGCTTAGTGAAGATGGTGATGCAGATCTAAGAAAAAAAGCGATGGTGAATAACTATTTAGCAGAAGCAAAGGAAAAGAAGGAGACTTCCAACATTAGCAAGGCATCAACAGAAAAATCGGACGCTTATAGTTATGTACCAAACAGCGGACACAATCGTGGTATGTCACAGACAGCTAATGATCAAAGTAGATCGAATAGCGATTCGTCAATATTCAGCAATGATCATGCGTGTGATGATACGAAACGAGACAGAACGAGTAGTATGGCCTCGTGTCAAAGCAATAGCATGAAACAAGGCACTGCATCAGTTGACACACCGAAAACGGAGAGGACTGTCCGGTTTAGTGGCCGAGTGTCCAAAATGAGCTGTGTTAGTCACCATGGTATGTCCCGGGTTTGCCTCAGGGAGGCAGCTGCGGAGAAGCAGGTTTGTTTCCTATCAAGGGATTCTTTGTTATGATTTTTTGTGATTCTTTATTCACTTGAATTTTACCAGTTCTGAAATTAGTTGTTGGCAAGGGTTTACATTCGTGAAGAGTTCATTCATTGTCAAGCTGGTAATTCTTCGTCGTTAATTTTGATTACCACAGATTTAAAAACATCAGAAATTGACTGAAAAACCCAGCGAAGGCTTTAAACTAAGCTAGTTGCTTGCATTACACGTATGATAAGGTTGATGAGATGAACAGTTTTCTGCGTTTATCTTAATGAAATTCAACATTTATTTTGGTTTTTTGCTCAGGCTTTGCAAAGAGACATATCACTGTTGGTTATGAAAATTGTGTTTTGTTTAGAGAAGATTATCTCTTTGGTTAAGCTATCAGGAAATTTGACAAAAACATTGAATATTTTATGAATCTCTCTTCCTAAGAGGCATTACCTGGGGTCTCGCGTGACAGTGGCTCAATCAAGGTATTTTCAAAGGTATTTTGATGACCTGAAAAACCTTCAGGCCGATTAGAATGCACCTGTTTGGTGGTACACTGCTGTCGTCAAAGAAGGCTCCGAGTAAGCTGCAATTTTGGCATCCAGTCGCTTAGTGGTTAAGAAAAAAGTTCATTTGCACGAAAATTAAGGCCTGGATTTCTTATGTTTGAGGAAAATTAAGAGAGGACTTAAGAGCTACGTTCTTTTTCTAATGCGTCTCGCAGCTTTTTGGTTAATTTTTTCGTACTCTTCAGAACGTAAGAAGGTCTCTTTTCAGAAAAGTAGGCAGTGGTGTGGCATCAATTTTTAATAACACCTATTTCCAGGTGACGATGAGAAGGGATGACATGTTGAAAAATATAGCAATTGTTTTGATGGACAGGGGTGCTTAAGGGGCTTGTTAAAAATGGTGCGGTAAAAGAAAATGGGTGTTTTAAACATGGCGTGACAAATGTGGCGTGGTAAATGTAGTGTGATAAAATAGGCGTGATTGGATCTGTATAGCTTGTCAGAATTGAAAAAAAGCCAATGGTTTGTTTAGTTTGCAAAAATTGATAAATGAATTAACACTACTTTTTCCCTACGACTTGTAAGATTCAGGCAAAAATATTTAAAATTGATTAATGAATCAACCAAGTGATTAAAGAACCAACCAGAGAGACGTTGGACACGTCTTCATTGATAGATCATGTTGCAACTAACACTCCTGCAAATATTGTCGATTCAGGCATCCTAAAAATTTCACTTAGCGATCATTATCTAGTATTTTGTGTTCGAAAATTTCGGGGCTTCATCCTAAACTTATTAAAAGCAGAAGAATGAACAACTTTGGCCATGAAATTTTTTTATTTGATCTAAGCCAGATTGCTTGGGATGGCATTGTACATTATTGCGATAACGTCCATGATGCCGTTCAACAATGGTCTACAACACTGTCTCTTGTCATTGAGATGTATCCCCCATTGCAGGATATGAAACAAATACTCTCCATGGCTTAATAGCGATTTTAGACAGCTTTCTCGTCGTCATAGAAACATAGAAACTGCTGCCGTTAAGCGTAAATCCTCTATACTGATAGATGCTTACAAGCAACTGCGAAATAAGGCTAACATTCTCAACAAAAATCTCAAACGAGAACACTTTTCCAAGAAATTAGCTGCCTGTAAAGGTGACTTAAAGCAGTCATGGAAAACAAAAAACCTCCTTTTGAATAAAAGATACCAAAATCGATGCCCTAAAAATTAACGAACAGGGGATAAATCACGATCATGATATCGCTTACTCGCTGAACGATTATTTCTGCAGTGTGGGGGAAAAATCTCAGTGACAAGTTACCCGCCCAGCCTAATCTCCTTCTGTCTCATCAATACGATATAACAAATCCCTCGAATGGAAGAGAACCATTCAAATTCGTTGCCATCGACAAGAGTAACAGGGAGCAGTTTTGCAAAGTAAATGGCGTCTCTTCTGACCTTAGAGTTATTGATATCTGAGTGCCACGAGAGTCTTGCTTGGGGCCACTTCTTTTTCTGCTCTATATATGATCTTCCCTTTGCATTAAAGAAGGCTAAGACAAACATGTATGCTGATGATAGCATGATTTCATATTTCTTCAGAGAAATGATCGTGAAAAAAACATCTACAATGATGTATAAATCTTTAAACAATCTTGCACCACAGTACCTTAGAGACCTATTCGTTAGACTATCAGATATCCACACACGAGAGCTAAGAAACACTAAAAATGATCTTGCAGTACCGTTAATGCGAACAGTTAGTGGCCAAAAGGCATTCTCTTACCGTGGAAAAAATTTAAAAACGATATCAAAGAGGCCCCCTCGGTATACTCTTTTGAATCCAAGTTAAAACAGTTGGGGTACGAAAATCTTTAATTTGTACAGATATCTTATTGTATTCAGATGTATATATTTTTATCTAATTTATTTGTAACTATATTAGCGACTTTAATTCTAACAGGGCCAAATTGTAAAACAGTAATTTTCATTGAATTTGTACCCTGTATAAATATGTGTAAAATATGAAATATGAAATGCAATGCAGAAATCTTTTATCCACTTTTCCTCAAACAGGAAATCCATATACGTGGGCTTGATTTTTCAGCACAACACTACAAAAGCTATCAAGGTCACACTTTTATCTTCAGAATTCTAACACGAATAGATACTAAAAAATTCCTGTCTATCTTATTCTAAACACTCCATCTTGATGTTTGTCATAAAGTTTCGAAACAATTTTAGATGTATTTGTTATGTTTCAGGGATCATCAGACGAAGACGACGAGGAGCCTTTGTCACTGGCGTTTCCCGACTCGCATCTAATGCGTATTTATTATATTATAAAGTTTCCAATAGTCATTTTGCTTTTCTTCACATTACCCGATGTCCGCCGACCGGTAAGTTTTATCCATTTTCATTGAATTCAAATGTTAGTACTTCGTGAGTTTAGCTAAGAAGCCAAGGTCTCCTTAATGACAGTGGCTGGAGGAGGGGGTGGGAGCAGTGGCGGAGCCGTGGCTGGAAATGGGCGGAGTCCGCCACTTTTGCAAAAAGTTGGTCCTTGAGATTCTTGCTAGCCTGAGATCAGCCGCCTCAGGCTAGATTCTTGCAAACCTGATAAGAAGACTTCGGGGGGGAGGGGGGGTATGTATGCTTTCTAGATCGTCAAGTTTAAATGACATTTCTTGGGAGACAGGAGGTGTTTTCTCCAGAAGAAAAAGTTTGAACCAAGGAAAAAGGGCGTAGTCCAAAAGGGCGTAGTCCCTGACACACCTTTTGCCCTCAACTTATCCCAGGCTGTAGCCGCCACTCGTGGGGGGGGGGGGGCACCTTCGTATCTAGAAAACCATAATTAAAATGAATCAAACTTACCACTTACAATACTGATCTCCACATTCTTTGTATTTTTACTTCTCTTGCCAAATAATGTTCCTTCTTTCCAATGATTGCTGTTCACTTTATCGATTAGTAGCCTCTGTATAGAATCGTCTAATTGTATCCAAACTGGTGTAAAAGCATGAATTTCTGCTCTTCACATTCTCATTTCGCACCACATAGCATTGACGAACATTTTGTACCTGAAAGAAATCCAATATAGCATTCTACGGCCTAAAAACAGGCTGCAAAAGTGTGAATTGAGATCTTTGTTCGGCGGATCAAATGTATTTAATAAAAAATATAAAGGTAATTTCTCTAATTTTAATTTTGTATATACCATGCTATGCTCCTACTATTTCTTGCTTTTAGAGATTGTTGTCTACGAGAAGCTTATCGATATGCTTTCTTTATTGCAGAAAATGCGAAAGTTTTTCCCCTTGACTTTTATCGGAAGTATTTTATGGATTGGAGGATTCTCATATTTAATGGTGTGGTGGGCGTCGACAACAGGATCAACGCTAGGGATACCTCCCGAGGTATGTGAAATACTTTCAGCTTTAACTCTCTTGGACCTCTTGAGCTGTATAAGGCCCAGTATGCATTCATGATTGCTTTTGGTTTAAGATGTCTATCAGAATCCTTTTAAAAGAAAGAAGGCATTTAATAATAATAATAAAAATAATAATAATGGATCATGACCAGTATCTCCACAGGGTGGCTCTTCGTCTGGTCGTTAAATACTACACGATGTAAAATTAGAGATTGAAATAGTTTAAATACCATAAAATGTAAATTGGAATTAAAAGTTAGGTTCTTCTCTTTATGAATCAAACTAAAAGTCTCTTTTTTGCTTCAGTAAGAAAATATTCTTTAGATTTTGATGAGAATTCGGCTTTCGTTTCTGATTTTCTTATCGCATTTGGCATCTTGTTAAAAATTCAGCTGCACTGTTCCTCAAAATTTTAGAATTTGTTGTAGTTGCAACTTGTGGTGCAGAGTTTGATCTCAGATGTTTACTGTTTTCTTTTAATGATATGTCAATATATGCTGGTTTGTTATGATCTGTTATATAATTAAAAGCCAGCTTCATAAGGTGCCATTCTCGTCTCTTTTTCATAGGTAACCAGCCTAATGATATGATATCCTTTTCTTTAACGTAACGGCATTTGTCGTTGTTAAGCAACTTCAGGAAACCAATCAGGGGTCACTTGATTCAAGAGAGTCGATGATGGAACATTTGCGTATTTAGGCCCGTTTTTTTTCTTCCTACAGAATTGACTCTAAAAGACGCAATCTATTTTCCCTTTTGATCTTAATGTACCAGCAAAACTGGTCAAATTTGTTGTTTATGAATTTTTTTACCTTTGTTAATGGACAGGAATACCCTGAAAAGCATGGAAAAATGATGTACTCATAAACTTGTGCTTTGTTCTACGTGAGGTAGAGCTAAGCTCAATATCATTTGATAGTAGTTACCAGAGCTAACAGTATCTTGTAATGCGTTTCCTCCAGTTCTAAGTTCAATGAAACACTAAAAGCGTGGCTGATTGAGTTTGTGGCTTTCCTTTTTCACTCCATTTACACCATTTAATATCAATTTTAGGTTATGGGCCTCACTTTCATAGCAGCTGGTACAAGTATCCCCGATCTTATTACTAGCGTACTGGTTGCTAGGGAAGGCCTTGGTGACATGGCTGTGTCAAGCTCGATTGGCAGCAACATTTTTGATGTGACTGTTGGGTAAGATCATTTAACGATCCTTCTTAAGGGTAGAATTTGGTTTTGGCCGTGTTAAGACATTTTCCTCCCTTCTTAAACGTAAAGAAAGTCTAAAAGGTAGTTAATCCAGCAAAACATAATTTTGTTATCAAACTCACACAATTGTTGTTAATAAAAGGTTTTTAACACGGGTGTACTTTTGTTGTAGAGAGATCTGCATCATTTGATTTCGTTTATACATTTCACAGGTTACCTGTCCCATGGCTGGTGTGGAGCGGGATTCACTCGTTCAATGCTTATAGGGTGGATAGCTCTGGTCTGTTCTGCTCAACGATTCTTCTTTTCCTAATGCTTGTGTCAGTCGTTGCAGCTATTGCGATATTCAGGTGGAGGATGACAAAATACCTGGCAGCTGCAATGTTCAGCCTATACGCGTTATTTATTACAATAACATTGCTTATTGAATATAAAAAGATAGGATGCTTCATCAAGTAAGCAGTTCTTATCCTATTTATTGGAAATTGAGGATATGTCATGACGCTCGAGTAGCATTCACTTGCTCACTGGAGACAAATGTTCGTGAAGTATAGCTTAAAGCATGAATAGTCACGACGTTTCCAAATTGAAAATCCTTCATCCAAGATGATGTCATCTGATTTTCACATATGGGAGCCAGTGATGCAACGATTGCGTAGATGACACGGTATAACTAAACGACACCATGATGCTGTAGAAAAAGGCAACAAAACGACGGGTAACGGCACGCTACGTAAATACATATAGAGAAATTTTAAGGAAGCGTTGAATGATATAGGGACCTCTGTCCTTCATGACTGTCATACATACATACTAGTCGTATAATATTTGCGATTTAGAAAGTTTCTCCATTTAACACCGTGCTGCTACTCGTCATTAAGCATTCTCGTCAGTGGGCATAACCTTAAATCAAGTTACAAGTGACTAATTTGAATAAGGTCTTGTTGTATATACGTAAGCTGTTACTAAGTCTGCATACAGAGATTGTCGTTTGCTTTACTTTCAAATAACAACTTTATCATTCTCATCCCATTTCTCGCGAATTTTAAAATTGAGTCAGCTCTACAAAGAGCTCTATAAATGGATAATGAAATACTTATCATATTTATGTCAACTCTAATTCTCTAGTGTGACATGTTAATACAAATCTTTGACTGCATTAAAAAACAAGTGAACAATGGCTAAATTTTGATAAATCCTTTAGAATAGAGAATTTCTACAACACATATCTGGCATGGTAAAGACAGCATCGAAACTTTGACTTAACAAACGTGTTTTAACTCTTCAGTTTCCAGTCTATTAAGACCATGTTAGGAAAGTTTCCTGAAAACGGCTTTACCCAACCGACTCAAAGATGAGCATAAATGTTATTTTGTGTAGATCTGCTTTGACTGTTGTTTCGAAAAAAAGGATCTTAAAGGTTCAATAACGACAAAACCATTGAGTATTTTAATAACGACTAGGTCTACGGATTGAGTCTTGTTTTCTCATAACCACATTAGGGCATGCACTTTGCGATAGGCTGGAAAGTACAATTTCACTTTCTCTTTTTCACGTGTTTACAGAGTAGTTCAAAACTGTTAGCCCATAGAAAAATATTACGTCATTTGACTAGATGACGTAATATTTGCGTTCTTTGCGATTAGCTAGCTGTAAAATGCACTTTCACATCTTTGTCATTTGCAATTCTTTGTAAATTATGAATGGGAATGGGACCCTAACTTATGTTCAGACTTCAGACTATTCAGATTTTCTTCTATTACGAAAGCAGTGATATATATTGTTACAACTCCGTTCCAAAGGGGAAGATTGTGATGTTTAAGAAACGAAGGTGCTTGATATTCTAAAGATTGGATAATTGGGGGTGGCGTCTTTTAATTGGATGAGATTAAGTTTTCTAAAAGCTGTCTAAAAGGTCCTATGTTGTACTAATGATCTTCAAAAAGTGTCCTATTCCTGGAAAGCTGGCGTCACCATGGGCTCCGACACAGGTTGGAAAGTGGGGGCATAACCCCCCGGACAACCCTTCCTCGGAGGCCCTGGGCGTCACAATGGAACAAATCTTTCTTTACATAGCTGTTCCTTATTCAGTACGGTGTGGATCTAACTAACAGCATGCTAAAAGGTTCAAAACCTATCTTTTATTTTTCTATGCACAATTTAGACATACCTGTTGTATATTGTTAAAAGAAAATTGTCTAGAGAAAAAGTAGTATTTGTCTTAAACTTTATTTTATTTATTAATTAATATATTTATTGTGTATATTAATTTATGATTTGTTGATGTGATTGCGTGTAAATAAAGACAAACAAGCTATAAATATAATTGGCTGCAAAAGTTGTTTTTATTCTCCTTATTTTCTCAAATATCTTTAGAACAACTCGACTTGAATTAACTTGAGGCGTCTTGATATCAATATGGAATGTTGTCATTTTCCCTATGTTGTCACTGTCCCTTTTATCACACTACTTACTATTCTTTTAATGCTGTCTGAATTGTTAATAAAAACCCCAAGATAGTTTTTGCAGAAATTTATCTGCAGCAAGTAAATTTCACACCATTTTTCCCAAATATGTATTTATTAACCTTTAAAGGCAATCTGTCTCGTTGTGGATTGGTAAACGAGAACAATAGCTGGAACAATAGCCTAAACACGATTCCAGCGCTCTGCCATATTTATAACAATGCGATAAATTAAAGGGGGACTGGAAACAATAAAAAATCCCTTTGTTCTTATAATCAATCAACGTCGTGACAGATTGCCTTTAACATTTGAGAAAAAGAGTAAACAAAATGTGATTAAAATAACCAACCCGGCCAATAGGATAATATATGTTCATTTCTAGAACACATTTCATTAGACGCTCTTTTCCACCGAAAAAAAGTTTTTAGCGACTGCCACTTAGGATAATCATCACATAGTAGTTCGTAGGCGATGAAACATCGAAAAAGAATTTATCGCATTAAAATAGCGATTAACAATGTCCCTTGTTTCAAAATCCCTTTACTTTTGAGATTAGGCAAGTAACTGAGAGTTTTCGTAACAAGATCTGAAATATTATTCCTTTTAGGTAGTCGCTAAATGTGAAATGACGAGAGTTGAGCACGGATTAGTCTATTTTCCCAAAGAACACAACTATTGCTAATATAACGGGCACGTAGCTTGACAGCGGGATCGTTAACTATCTTATGAACAGCGAAACTTCTTACTCACAATTGCAAAAAAAGTAGCAAAGCAATACTACCAAAACCGAAACTCCAGCGAAAATATCGCTAAAAATGGACAAAATGGAGAATATTTCCTTCCTAATATGTTACTGTTTCTCATTTCATCTAATATTGTACATCTCATTGTCTATATCCGCCTCAAGACAGAACAAGCTTCGTATCAATTTGATGACTTTATACAAATTTGAGGACAAGAAATAGGCTTTAGACAGCACGTGGTGCTTCGCAAAATGTCATTACTACCGAAGTCCTGTCTACTACAGGGGCTTAAATGAAAAATCAGATAGGAAGTACCTCAGACAGATGGCAAATTGGAACGAAACTTCCTCGTGGGCGATTCGTTTGATTCAATACAAATAAAAACATATACACAAGTCATAAACGAAACTGTCAGATTCGTTAAAGTGAGTACAATAAATTGAGATACAGATTTAAAGTAAAAAACTGTACAACGAGAACATTAACTAGAAAGGTTAATACAGAGCATTTAAGACTAGAAACACATTTGATATTACCACACAGAGTTTGCGTTAGTTATCGCCACAAACTTTGGACGAAATTCGAAAGTTCTTTTGTAAAAACAGAGAGTCACATGCCTAGAGCCATTCGAAGCAAAAGGAGCGGACTTGCTAATAATTCAAGAGGGTAAAAAGACTCACCAATGCAAGGTAACTGCAGAATGAAACAAATTCAACCATGGGTGCTTGCAAGTTAAGTAAATTTGAAGAGAAAGATTCGTCAAATACTCTTCTACCCTTGGGATTTTAAATACACGTTATTGCAAAGTCCAAATCAAACAATTCTAAACAATTCAAGAGTCGATAACACCGAATTTGATACAAAAACAAAAACAAATTTGGTTTGGGAATAAAGAAGAACTTGCATCATCTAAGCTAATCCACAACGGACTAAAAAGGGACGTAACTGCAAAAGAGCTTTCATGGATAACAAACATGTCTCGCGGTCTCTGAGGAAATGAAAATCGAGGCACGTTTGCGCGTCTTTGACAACAACCAATCAGTATCACACCAAATCACTTATACGCGACTGTGATTGGTTGATATCAAAGAGAACAAAACCTGACTTCACAGGGCGTAGAATGCTTTCAACAAAGTGCGAGAAAAGCAAAGTATTTTTTTTCTAAGAGGGGAATACTTAATTACATAAGGCTGATATAAATATACTATTAACTTACCGAAGATATATTTCTATACAGGGCTGGCAGTGTTTGAATTCCCTAATCATGATTTCTAGATGGTCGGCACTAGTGCAAAGGTGACCTACACGCGTTATTTGCCACAAAACAGGGACATGGCGCTAAATATTGGATGAGTTAAGCGATTTAAAAATATGCACTTTCATTTTCTAAGATCTATCTATGTTGAATAATCTTGCGTGGGGTTTAGGCGACATAAAATTGGCGATGGAATCTAAATAAAGAAAAACTCATTCAAAACTCGATTTGAAAGTGCACGAGTGTTAAAAAAGCTGAACAGTTTGTTCTCTAATAATCTACACAGTTCTGTATAACAAAGCTAGCATCTTCAAACATAATTAAATAGTAAAGGCAACTATAACCAAAAGAGATTATTGCTATGGGTCTCAAGGAGTCTCGAGGAAGGGCACTCCGTGGTATTGCTGATATATCTTCCATTCGATCTCAGATGGATTGTCAGGCGAGACTATCCTTGGCGTTAATGACAAATTGGTCCAACATGACAGACGACAAGTCTTTTCCATATTTCACTCCAGTAATGGCGGCCATCTGGAGGCGATGTTTTCCACAGCAAATAAAAGAATTAACTACTGTGTCAGTTTCGACATTCGTTGTTGAAGAGCCATTAACTGCGAGATATTATCCTTTAAGTTACTCTCAACGTCTCTTAATTCTTTTATTTTTAGCTCGTTGCTTTTAAGTTCTTTAATTCTTTGTTCGAATTGTGCGTTTGATTGCATCAGTTTTCGGTTTTCACTTTGTAGTTGCTGCAAATTAAGAAAACATCAGTCATTTTTCTTATATTATAAATAACGATTAGGGAACCTTTGAGATAAAAAAACAACATTTTTTATTCCAATAATGGAGTGTCTTAAGATCATTTGCATAATATACCTTGCCATCTTGTGAAGTAGGGTAAAATCAAGAAAACAGACAAGCAGATAGCAAAATTTTTTACTTTAGAAAGGTGAAAAATCCTCTATTTAGTTGCTAATTAATGTAAAGTAAAATTTTTCCTTCACTTTTTTCCATAGATTAGTGACGGTCAATATTTTCATCAATAGTGTTCTTAGGTGTGTGTGACGTCACAAAAATATATTTTGAGAACTTTAGATTTGACCATATCAACGAAAAGAATACCATGCAATACTTCTAGCTATGCACAATTAGTTAAATATGTCAAAAATCAGGTGAAACATGGCAACTGAAAAATTTGAAGCTAGCAAACGGATCACTGCCATTTGGCTCTGTTCATAAAGTAATAAACAGAGACCAAATTACAGGAGTTTGATGGAGAAAGCGATTATGCCAATTTGGCCAAATCTCGGTTAATTCATAACACATTTAACTGATTTTCCACATTCAATGGAATTTCATAATGCTCTTTCAGGTGATTGGATCAAAATTCAAAAATTAGATAAAATTTGTGACGTCATCACTTTAGAACTCTGTTAAAACGACATCGCGTTAGATATTTTATCAGTAAATTCCTAAAGCTTTTAAGCAACAAAGTCCATTCAATGCCACATGCAGCTATTAAAGATTCGAATCTATCAAACCAAAATATTCAAACGGACTTTCTAAGAATAAGACGTTAATTCTTAAACACTGGATGATATTAACAAATTTGGAAAGAAACGTGCTTTTTGTGTTGAATGTAAACGCAAAAATGTTAAGACATGTCAATAAAGAGTAACGGCAGATTGAGTGGAAGATAAATCTAAAGTCTATGTTGGATTTACTTTCGATTAGAATTAGTTCACGTCAACTTTGCCGGTTGCTTTTTATCAAAGTATTAAGCAACAGATAAAAAGAAAAATTCTCACACATCATTACTTTTTCAATTTAAAACACTACAACAGAGCCTTGATCCGGAAAGAGAAACATTTCTTTCTAGGCCTCAATTTGAATAAGATAATTTATAAGCAAATTTACAGCAAATTAGTAAAATAGTGTTCATTAGTGGCCCAAATGTCGTTTGTTAAAATTCTTTTGTATAAACCTATGAAATCCTCATAAAATATAGGAATGGTTGGAAGATGTACTGGAAATAATGAAAAAATGATTAACTGAAAATTTACCTGAATTTTGACAGTCATATCTGCATTCAGTTCACGGTACGAATTAATTTCACTATTTTCTTGCGTTGCTCTTGCTAATTCCTAAAAGAGATCAACTCCTTGTCAATATTTTCTAATTATTTGCAAATAAAAAGAAACGAATTGTATTAAGCCTCCTGTGTAATTCTGAATGACAGGTTTAAGGGAAAATCACATCAAATAGTTTCTATTGTCATGTCGTGTTAATAAAAAAAATTATTTTATTCAAACTTGACAATCCTCGTACAAGACCTTTTCTGAAAAAGGCCAGAAAATCTGTTTTTTCTTGGACTATTTAATTAAGATTAAAAGTTTAAAAATTATCGATAAATAAAGTTCATTCTGTGCTTGAAAGCTTTCATAGTCCTTGAATATTGTTCTAATTTCAACAGTTTGATTCAAGTTTAACATTTTTGATTCCTAGTTAACGTTATATATTGTGTTTCTCTGGTGGTTACTAAACACAAGACAAAAAGCTTACATAGAATAATCGTACAGAAATTTCAGACAAATCATTTCAAATGTTGAGCAAGCTAGCACACATTTTTAGAGACAATTTATACTTTTGTTACTTACTTCGTCTTTTACCGTGAGTCGTCCTGTTAATTCAACGAGTCGCTGTTCCCAGTCTTGTCTCATTCGCTCCATCAGTTGTCCATTAGTTCCTCCTGATTCGTTCAACTCGACAAGCTGTTGAAATCAAGAATTCATAAGAAGCTGTTTTAGATATACCGATAAATGACTTACCATGGGTGCAACTAACGGACATTTAAAAACGAAATTCAGTACTTCAAACTGGATAAATTTTCTTGGTGCAAATCATGTCCACTACTTTCGCTTCTGGGTGCAAATCTTGAGATCACATGATTATCTTAATGAGCCATGTTGTTGCTGTCTTCCCGTGAGAGTACCCACCCGCCATGAAGTCTACAGCCAAGGTGAGCCAGAAGAACTCTTCACTCGAAGTGAGTAGAACCGGGCGAATTTTTCAAAAATTGCATTCATTTTAATTATACTGGTTGACGAAATCCAAGCAGCGATCAAACTTTGCCTTACAAGAGGTTGAACAAAACAAAACAAATAATCGAAAACGCGATTTCATGAGCAGCTGAAGTTTATGGTGAAATTTACCTTTTTCTTCAGTCGCGTGTTTTCATCCTTGTAATTATTGAGTTGCTCTTTCCACTTTTCTACATTGACAGTGCTTTCTTGAAGAGCAGCCGTTAATTTTGCGTTATTATTTTTCAGTGTTTGTAATTCCGCTTCCCATTTCTTTGCATTTGCAGAGCTGTAAAAAGAATAATACAGGTTAGATATTGGCAAGCCCAGAAGGATAGAAAATCCGTTTGTATGATCAATAACACACGAGAAACGTTGAGCTGTGAAATTGCAACTTGTTTGCAACTTGAACAGTGAAACTACTTCTGAGTTAACTCTAACGTAATAAATTAATAGCAACCCGTTGGTACTGTTCTGTTTCTATCGAAGAATTGAAAAACACGTCAGCACACAAGTTTCTACATCAGAGTTTCCATAAGGCTTCTGCTATTGTCTTTCCAAAACTGGTCATGAAGAAGACAATTTTGTGAAAGAGTAACCAACCAACTTGTTTCTTTGAAATTTTTTTTAGGAATCCTATTGCAAATGACGATTATTTGAAGAATAAAATAAAAAGGTGGTGTGTAAGGCTCTGGCACTAACAAACGAACTCACATTGGCGAACTGATAAAAGTCAAGGCGGGAGAAAGCAATGCAAGGCCTACGCTGAAAAACTGACTTGTGTTTTAGATGAAGCTAAAGAATTAGCAGTTGGTAGAAGGTGGTTGAGCCAATTACTTGAAAGTCTATGGGCTAATCATAAATGCATCAGTCGACTTAAACATAGAAACTAATATGAAAAGTTGTGAATGTTATCAAGGATGCAAATTGTTATATATCTAGGTAAACAAAAAATAACTGTTTTTGGTATGGGACAGAAAGGGGATCTCCGCAATCTTTAATTCACCTCGCTACCGTTATCAAACAGATATAAACAGTATCTTTATCACGATACTGACAGGGGGTATAGTCTGACTCTTATTTGATGTGCATCAACAAATGAATTGCTCCAATGTATACACAATATTAACGACATCAAGAAATGTCGCTATCATTATGCAAATATAATTAAAACGCAGATCAAACAGAAATAGCTCAAGACTGACGACACAATGTCCAACGTAACTTTCATTAATCCCCAATCCTCTGCAAATTAAATAAGCTTCATTCATTTCAAATAACATGTTATGGCCTGCAAAAAGTTTCCAATTTACAAAAATATGCTTTAATATTTCGTCTTTCGTTATCGGTCCTAGTTCCCACTTCTGCATTCACTCTCGCGCATCCGTGGTTTGAATATTCTACAAATGGTTCACGTTCTTTCAAATCCATATATATGGAATTCCCATAAGAAATAATTTTTAGCTATTCCACACATAACGATTGATAGAATGAACTAATCATTTCCTTCTCATGGGTAGACTGGGTCTATGTCTCCGCTTGCCTTTTCACAATCTCTCCTCTTTTCAATAAACCTCGTTCTAATAAAAACATAAAGAGCAACAAAAGACAATGTATGAAACAACATGGGAATTGAACTACCCTCTGCCAAAATAGAATCCTATTCAATAATATTGCAAATAGACAAATTTTCCAAAAAATTTAGCAAAGTGTACGAGTTTCCAACAAATTTTCTACCCGAAATTTCCAACAAATCAGACAAAGTTCAAACAAAGAGGGGGAAGTGGCTCTGTGCAATGGCGCAATGGCTACGCCGTCAACTGGTACAATTGTATACTTGTCTCATGTAAAAGACTAATGAAATGCAGTTCCCTAGTTTCTCTAGTTTTTATCTATACGTTCTGAAACATGACATGGGAAATTTCTCTTGAGATAGGGTTGGACTCTTAGACTAACTGCGCTAGCAATGCACACTAGCAAATCGCAAACAAATTAAATCCACTTATCGTTCTTGTTTGGAAATTTCATTTCTTTTTGGCTAGTTTTAGGTGCTTTTCCCAAAACCTGAGAAGATTTTCAACTAAAGCATCAAGAAATGTTCTACTTCTCCCTGAGGATTCTTCGATCTCCAGCTGCTAAATTTGCGTGGATCATCTCCATTGCTCGCTAATAAGGGAGTATCTTAACCTGGACAAACTCTAAATCGGATATCATGGTGTTTCTCTTAATAATCCACAAGTTTTACCTCAGCAGTAAACATAGCTAAAGAAAATTGAAACAGCAGCGTGCGAGTTTCAATGTTAGCTTTGTAGAACGTTAGCCCCAAGGACCAGAGAAAGCCTATTCAATTACTATGGAAAATCCGTTCACTAATCAAATTTACGGCCTCGTTTTGGAAATTACTTCAAACTATCATTGAAACCACTACGAATTCTTTGAGCATAGATTGGATTTTTCGGTTACAGTTTTATGTTTTCTGTGCTTGTTTTTAGATTTTATGACAATATAAAGATTGAAAACTTGGAGAAATTTTCGTCAAGCCGCTAATCAATGTCAAATCCCTTAAAAATTTTCAACCTTGCGTTGTCATCAAATCAGCATTACAAACACTTGCATTAAAGGAAATGGCATGTAGACTAAAATTTTGGTCCATTAAAAGTAAAATACGAAGTCATAAATTTAGAACGAAAAAGTTTAAGTTAATTTAAAAATGTGGAAAATGTGTTTCGAGTTGCCATTCAGATTGAGTCATCAAGCAGTTAAAGCAGACTATTTTGCGATGTTTATCTGCAGTTTATCATCGATAATTCGACAGCATGATAACTTGAAGATCTTCTAATTGGAAGGGGAAAATGAGCCCATTGATAATCATCAGTTAACACCAATTTTTGTTTAATTAAATTTCCAATAGTTCGATCAAAATTGAATCGAATTATTGAGATTGAAATTTGAGATTGTTAAAGTTAATTAAATTCACTCTAATATCATTTTGAACGAATTAATGTCTTCAGGAAAAAAGGCAATTAAATAATTAACTAATTACTTTTAAAGAAACTGTTTCATACAATAAAAGCTTACAAAAAGCAGTGTCTGAGGTTAGTCTACTTTAAAGTCTTAAGATTTAAGTTACTCCTATATACCAAACTAGTTAATTAACACTTCTCTAATTAATGCAGTCACATTTTGAAGCAATAGGCGCCGCGTCTACCACCGGCGTTAAGAAACGGTTAACGAAGAGACTAACATGCAAGAAACGTCAATGGACCATTGCTCTAGGTGAAAGGATGGTTCAGCGGACAACAGATCCAAGGGTCTGGGGTTCGAGTCAATGACGTCATCAAACGTTCATCCAGAGTGCGGGGAGCGAATTAAATACACTTGTCCCTTAAGCCCCGGTCAAAAGAACTGAACATTTCACTGAGCAACGCTCAACATGCCTGCTCAGTAAAAAGTTCAGTTCGTTTTAACATTTGCTTAGCCTTGCTCAGTCCTGGTCAGTCCTGCTCAGATATGTTTGACGGCGATGCTCAGTTCGTTTGACCATCCAACTGAACTTTGCTCAATCCACGCATGTCTAGCTCGCGCAATGTATTTACGTTTTGCACCAAGAATACCTTGAGAGTTTTGCGTTAATTAAAACATTTAATTGCGTTATGAAAGCTAATCATTTCGAAAATATTAAGAAGGCCTTTTGATTCGCGATAGTTTTGTGCGAAATTTCCATTCTTTTATTGCGTAGGCCGAGGGGCGATTCACTCTTGCAAATAGCGTACGAGATTTTTTCTAAAACAAAAGGATTTTTGGAGATTTTTAGATAAAACAATAGGATTTTCAAAAAAGGTGTACGATATTTTCTTAGAGTGATTTGCCTCTCGGCGTAGGCATCCGCATTAATCATTCTTTGTTCATTGAATTGTTGGGTACAATGTTCAGTTCGTTTGACCACCCTGCCGTACGCTGAGCAGAGTTGAGCAAGGTTTGCAAATGCTGAGTGTTGCTCAGTGAAATGTTCAGCTCGTTTGACCGGGGCTTTAGCCAAAATCTGTTTGAAAATCCAGGTTTCATTTTTTGAGGGTTTTATAAGGCGAAACAGCCTGCTGAATCAGCTAAATCAATCTGAAAGATTATATTTCAAAGATAGTTTACTGAAAATTTCATTGAATCAAGATAACATACCTTTGAGCTAATGCCTTTTTTAATCTGTCGTTTTCATACTTGAGTTGAGAATCGGTCGAATTACCGAAAGATTTATGGCTCCCACCAGCATCATCCTGCAATAGAGAAGGGAAAATTCAAGTTTGGTCTGACAAAAAAGGCCTACAATCCATACCGAGAGTCCTGGAAATGCACTGTTGCTTAAGAGCTTTTTGAAAAGTAATTGTTTCTTGTAAAAAAGATCGAAACTGCACCCCCTGTTTCCCAAAACAACGTTGGTTGCATAGTTAGATATTATTTATATCTGAAAGGAATATTGTTCCTAGAGAGAGGGGCGCTGCAGTATAAAAGTCGTGTTTTGAATAGAGTTTATAATAGACTAAAAATATAAACAGAATCTTAAATAGAACAGTATACATATGAAAAGAATATTCAACATTTTACTAGATGATGGTTCAGATTGAAGCCTAAAAATAATTTTACAAAATTGTTGACGGTCTTTGGGGCAACAAGCCGAGAGGCCAATTTTCCGATAACTTCTATTTTTGCCGGGTGATTTTATTAAATATAAACTGATTTATTATATAATTACATTTGAAAAATATGATAATTGCTTCAAAATTCGACCATCTTTCAACTGTCAGCTGTTATTTCAATAAAAATTCGTGAGCCCAAATTGATTTCCTAACGACTGCAGTATAAGCAACGCGGAAATATCGTTATCTTAACGACGAGGCATTAAAATCCTACACAAAATCCATGACAACGCAAAAGGCGTGACGGGCAGCCCAGACATTTGAAAACATGACATCATTTTCGAAGGGGCCTATCCAACGAGAAGAATGTTGGGGGATCATTCATCAAGCTATTAGAAAATGGCTCGTGAAATCTTTAGCACGGTTAATTTGCCCAAGATGGGAAATAAAAGTCCTTTATGGGTCGGAATCTTAGCCTTTGGTGTAGCAGCAAAGAACTTTATACCCGTCCATACATAAATCTTAATTCAAGGTCTATATTAAACTATATTAACCAAAGAGTATAGACAATATTTATATCAACTGATAGGAATTTCACATTAATGTTAGAATTGATAAGCAGTAAAGGAAAAATGCTATAAAATCAGGGATAAAAAAGATCTTGAAAAAATGATCAAAGAACAATCTTGAGCAGAATACGTCAAGATGGTTTTAAATAATAATTGAAAATGTACAAAAGACAAGGCACCGAGTAACTGGATTGGCTTAGGTCAATAGCTTACGATGCAAACTGTTGCTTGGTTATAAATAATGACAAATATATAAAGAAGAATTCGCAACTGACTGAAGGTACCCATATTAACGAATCACTCTCTTGATGGGAGGGGGCTATCGATGAACAACAAAAAGATGCGGACTATTACCTCCCTTAAAGGAAAGGAAAACGAATCCTCTAAAAAATATCAGAATTAAAAAGTGAAATTGGAACAAATTATCTATGGTTTCTGAAGTAAAAAAAAGAAATAAGAATTCCTTGCCCAAGTTCGCTTCTTATTCTTCAAGCCACTGGAGATTTATTTTGGTACGTTAAGATATTCAAAAATCCTTGACACTGCCATGAGTGTTTACACTCTTTTTTATAAGAACAATTTTATAAGAACACTGGTCAAAAGTTAAGAACAAATTAAGAACAAGCTGAGGCTGAGCTTCTGCAAAATGCAATTTTGAACAACGTTTTTTCTCAAAATCGAAAATTTTTAGCGATGTGTGGGTGCTTTTTCGGTGAATATTCAAATTTGACAGCAAATTAAGGCTGTCTCACTCACTTTGTTGGCAAATGAGGCCTGAACACCTCCTTAGAGCGAAAAAGCTAGCAATAGCACTGCTTACACCCTCTTAATTAAAGAACAAATTAAGAACAATCCAGCCTCAGATTTTCGAAAAAATTAAGAACAGTCAGCCTGAACTTAAATTTACTGGTTGTTATAAAAAAGAGTGTATATATAAAACAAATACTCTTTAGGTTCTTTAGGTTACCGTAGTAAATTAGGCTAGTTAAGAGAATACGCAAGTAAATTGATAATATCATAACAGAAATCAGGAGAATAGAAACAGAAAAAGAGGAAAATACAAATCAGGAGGTAATGGCAAATTGATGCAGGCAGTGAGATGAAACACAATAACAAGATAAAATGATGGCTGGTGCGGCCTAATCAGGTTAATGATAAGCTGAAAATTAGTATAGGATAGTAGAATTTGCGTAAATAAAAATATCTTAAATGATTATTTATCGATATCAAGCAGGCATATCATAGATAGAACTTACAACAGGCTGCCATAAATTGGGTTTGTGTACAAACTTGAGCATTTTCGCCGTGCCAGATTCCACTGATTACGATTGTAAGTGTTTTCATGAATATTTAACAAGTCGCAGAAAAAACCTGCTTGTTTAGAAAACCCCATGCAGAAAAGTACGAACACCGTACAAGAAAAACAACAATACTCCTGCGGCTCGTAGCCGATTTTTCACAGTAATGAAATGAAGAATGCCCCGCAGCCGCCTGGCCGTAAGATCACCGAGGGAGTGGGTCGTGCAGCGATAATTAAGATCCAAAGTTTCTTTCAGATTGGAGAAATTAAGCACACTAATTACAGAATGAAGGACAATATAGCAAACAGGCCGACATAAGTCATGTAAGGAGATCAACAGGATTTTTACGTAAGACGTAAAAAGGCACCAAAAGGGAATTAGAATCAAGGTCTCTCAGTAGACCACTTTTGAATCAGAGCATGGAGCGTCACAAAATGTTTGTGCGTCAAAACTTGTACATCGCCACCTTGAAAGTTACGGCGGCCTGAAAAAAGAATATCTTAATTCAACATATTCAAAACGAAAATATTGCTATTAATTTCCTATATCTCTGGAGAATAATAGTCACGAGCGTGCTCTTCAAATCTATATTTAGTTAAAAGCAGGGACTAGGCTCTCCTTTTGAAGCCTGAATGTGGGCTATTTTGTTTATTGAAGAAACTCTTGCAAGGCGTGGGTGGGGCTAGTTGCCCCCGATGCACTACACATTTCACGCAGAGCCGACACCCAAGAGAATACACCCAATGCAAAATAATAAGAGAATACACGGCCACCTTGAATCACGTGCTTGCTTATGACGTAAGGCCTTAATACAAGATATGCAAATAATATCTAAACGCGTTCAAATGAGCTCCAGATACAATTTTTCAGACCTTTAAATGCTTAAATATCGACAGGTTTTAAGAATTTGTAGGATAAGACTGACATAATCGTAACGAAGCTGAAACTGCGAGGACGTCCAAAGAGGGAAATTTACAAGCCTGACTTATTGCATTAAGTTTCGATAAGGTGCTGGCTGTTACCTTTTAGGAATAGCTATGTGAAACTCGAGCAGTAAAAACACAAACTTAATGAAGCAACTCCATTAAATTCTTTCCACTACAATAACTTAATAGATTTAAAATTAAAATAAAACTAGAAAATTATCGACCCTTCCCTAAACAAGGCACGGACAGCATCACTTTCGCTGGGATAATGCTGCAGAGAGACATATGATAAAAGGCGCTCGTAAAATATGATGAAAGGGGTGATGCACCCATGAGTACAAGAAGATGCATGGAGCAAGGCAGCGATCGCATCCCGACATCACTTGTAAGTCCACCGTTAACTAATATTAAACTGTCTATTAAGCAGATAGATGTCACTTAATGAATGAGAAAAAGGCAATTTAACAAGGTCATCGACGAATGTAGAAAGCATTTCGGTTTTACCTCAAACAATTTAACCATTAAAATCAGTGTCAAAAAAATTAGCTAAAAAAACAAAATTGCACGACACAACGCTCTAGGAGTTTAAATTTCTAAGACAAGGCGAAATGAAATTGGCCTTTTTTCATCCAACCATAGGTTTCACTAAAGTCGGTACCTCAGGAGTGCTTGGTACCTCCAAAGCTAAGGTTCGAAAGTAATATTACAAAATTACCAAGTATCAGCCGAGGGACGGTCGCTAACCGCTGAGCTATGAGCCCTACTTAGGCCACATTTGCCGGTAGGCGGAATCGTCTTTGCGGCATATTTCCTTTGGGCGCATATGTTTCCAATTCAACATAAACCACACACATCTAAAACCAAATGCTCAAGGAGCTTGAAGAACATAATGTCATAGGTGTCGATGCGCATTGCATTATCGAGTTATAAGGGCTGGTAAACTATTTTGCTTAAGCCGCACGATTAAGGGTACCCTGGGTACCAGAGATTCCACAACTGAGGCTAAGATTTTACTTCATTGATTTGAGAAGTATTTCATTCTGACTGGAGATAATTAAAAGAATTGCTTTTCTTCCCCATCCCATCACCCTCTTATTTGCCTTCTCCCCTTCCCCTCCCCCTTCTCATCACCCTCCTCCCCAACACCCTCCTTTCCACCTGCTCTCTGCTTACCTCCTCTTCCCTAACTCCTCTCCCGACCCCCTTTTCCCCTTTTCATGTCAACAAACCACAGCAAAAATAAACAACTGATTAAAATTTCCATGAGGAGGATGGAGATAGGGGAAAATGTCGAGAAAGGCCCATGCACTTCACAATGACTGTAGCTTGTTGTTATTTGAAACGAAACTTGAACAAGAAGGAAGATATTTTTGAGGGGGAGGGGGGGGGCGATTGTTGATATTTACCGAATTTTTGGAAAAAAAGAGTTTGGTTAGGAGTAGAGGTGTAGCATCAAAGGCTACAAACGGAAGAGAAAGGAGCTAGGTTTCAGGACATTTTCTCAACTCTTGACCTCATCCAAATATTCACATTTCTTTCTCTTCCTACATTTTAAATTTGCTTTAAATTTTGGCTTCGAATATTAACTTGAGAAGAACTCTGAGAGACAGAGTACCCCAGTGCTTGGATGGTCAGTCTCTCGTTTGAAAGAAAAGGTACCCAAACACTTGGCATTAAAGGTACAGAGAAGATTTAAAGCTCAAGGCAATTTTATCCCAATATAGTCATAGGATGTACCATGCATTAGCCATTTAATTCTGAATTGAACACGGGAATGCGAGTTTAGGCTTTGAATTCAATAAAATTTAATATTTCTGACTATAAAATAAGAGGGTATCTTTAAC